AAGCATTAGGGCAAACAGAACTGTGGTTGAGCCCTAGATCTCTTTTGAAACCATCCAAGCTGATTCATTTCCTGAATCTTCCAGTGTTCAGTTTCTGACAGAAGGAGAAAAACTTTCCTCTATCCACTTTCTCTACACTGTGCATTATTTCACACACTTCTATCACGTCTTCTCATATTCACCATTTCTCTAAACTAAAAAGCCCCAGAGATTGTAGAATTTCCTTATTGAGGAGTTGCTCCATCCCCCAAAATCATTTTGCTTGCCTTTTTCTGAACCTTTTCCAGATCTGCAATATCCTTTTTGAGCTACTTTTTTATTTAATGTTGGTGCCGAGTTCAGAATGTATATGATTCATCCGCCATTTTTGGTCTTTGTAAAGTCAGTTGTAGTACTATGTGTTTTCCTTAACAAATGATGCAGATGCTGTAAACTCAGTCACTATTTCCCCCTAGTGGTTGTTCAGAAAATGCATTCCTAAATGAGACACCCAGATGTTGAATAAGCCTGAAGAAAGCTTAGTTATATGAAGTGAATGGACTAAGGATCAGCTGTCTGTCAACAGGGAAGGCCCTTGTCTGATATGTAACACAAGAGAATTATAAACAGGAGGTTGTTTCTAATGTTAGTCATACTCATTATATTAGTCAGACCCATTAAAATTAATGGACATGGTTAATTTAGGTTTATTCATTTCTGTGGGTCTACTCTGAGTAGAAGTTAGTTGGATGCAATCTAGGGGCTCTTGCTTATGCCCAAGTAACTGAAGTAATTAAGAGTACAATGGAACTTCGTATGACTAAAAGAGCTCATTTAGGGTCATGATTATGATTCTATGTTCATGACTCTTTGATTACACATGCAGACACATGCATTAACATGTAAGGTATGTTGATCACAGGCATGAGTAGACCTGGCAACAGTCTTCATGGAGAAGTCATTTTAAAAGTTGTGCAAGACAGAAACAGTATTAAATGAAAAATAGTAGTAGTAGTAGTAGTGGTAGTAGTAATAATAATAATAATAATAATTTTATTTATACCCCCGCCCATCTGGCTGGATTTCCCTAGCCGCTCTGGGTGGCTCCCAGTACAAATAGCATTAAATGAAAAATACACCAGGACATAAAGCAGATCACACACTCCAGCATTTCATCAGAGGATGTGCCCCTTTTGCCAGAAATGTCCTAATAAGAGGAGAATGAGACAATGGTTTTTATTTGAATAAGCTAATGTTGTGTACTGGCTGGCAGAGAACAAACCATTGCATTGCTGACAATAGACTTGCCCACATTATCCACCGCTTTAAAGCTCTGTGTCTGAGCACCCCTGTTTTTAATCTGGAGGTTTTCCCATGAAAACCTGCTCTTTAGAACTCAATTGGAGCAAACGTCAATCTATGGAAAACCGAAATTGATGTTTGCTGGGAATTGTCTGTAGATTCTCCTAGCCCTGCCTCAGTTGTCAAGGAAGGAAGTCATCGGACAAGTGACAGCAGGTGTCGATGACAAAATGTCTTTCTTCAGTAACAAGCAGGGAGGGGGAAAGCAGAGCCATGAAACAGCCTGAGGTTGCCATAAACCTCCGTCTTTTCCACACACACAACAGGAACCTCATGGGGGGAATTGCTGAAAATAGGTCATCGGATAGTAGGTGTGTATATAAGTGATATATACCAAAATGTTGGACTAGTATAGGTCAGTGGAGTTCATGTAGCTGGCATAATAATGTATTCTGAGTCCACAACAGAAGTATTATATGGTAATCAGAACATCATTGATCCAACAATCTCTGTTCTCCTTCACATCACTCACAAAGAAACAGCTTTAATGCTTTGTTGGACATAAGGCCTCTATTTACAATTGCTTGGTTGCCTGTTGGGTTAGAATGTGAGAGTTTGACTCTCATAGGCATAGAAATCCAGATCCAAACCTTGGCTCTTGATCTCTTTTCATTCATCCGAGTGCAGGATCACACTAACGAGAAGCTGAGAAAGGTGTAACTTTCTTCCTGTCCCTTTTTTCCAGAGTTCATAACAAACGTTATGCTCATCCACTTTCTTTCCTAGGAGATTACGGTATTTCACGTCTCTAGATTAGGAGTATTAGGCACTAGTGATTTCTGTGTCTCCTTATATGCTGCTCCACATTAATTGCCACACCTCTGATTTATGCAGGCTTTGTTTCTTGTAATAAACCACCTCTTTTGAGTAGTCTTGTGTGAGCTCATGTTCTTGACAGTAATAAAGACTGGGTAGACACACAAGGGAACAGAGCTCAAATGTTTCACCTGTAAATGTTCCTGCCTCCTGTGTGTTTTGGAGTTATGTTTCACCTGCAAATGTTCCTGTGTGTTTTGGGGTCATGTACACGCACATGCACGCTCCTACATACGTGACAGCCCTTCCTCAGCAAGAGCTCAGGATGTTGTGTATCAAACAAAGGAAAAGACTACAACAACCTATCTATAGATACTAAAATTTTAATACCAGACCATAAACACTGCAGGTGAGGAATGCAGCTCTTATTTATGAAACTTCAGGCAAATAAAAATGTTTCCAGGTGGCATCTGGAACCCAGCGATGTGGGAGACAGATATGTCTCTAAGAAGAGATAATTCTGGAGTTGAGAACTTACCTTGGAGAAGGTCCACCTACATGTCTTCTAACCCCAGATTCCGGCAGTTCCTGCAAGCAGGGGAGGCCCTTGCACAGTGATCTTAAATATTGATTTGGTTGGCGTTGGAGGAGGAGCTCCTTGGGATGATTGGATCCCAAGCTATGTGGGGCCTTGGTTCACCAACACCTTGATTCGAGTCTGGTAGCATGCAGTCAGTCAAGGCAGAGATATTTTTGGACAGGTGTTATGGAATCCCAACCCAATTAATAACCTGCTGGTCACACAGTTGGACCATTGTAAGGTGCATTACAGGCTAGTTTGCACAGGTGAACATCCACCCTCCTGGAGATCCAGGCCTTTGAACGTATCACACGTTGTACTCCTAGCTCATGCCTTTTGGGCACACCTGTCTTGTGTAATGACTTCAGGATTGCCAAGGCAAGACCATGTGGCTAACTTTCCTAGCTTGGTACACATTGAAATGCTGACATGGCAAGCAGACTTACAAAGGCAATTTTGATTTTGGGGATCTTTCTCAAGGGCTGTTGGTATGCTGCCCAAGAAATAAGCAGCAAGCAGGATCACTAGGGACACGATGTGCATCAGGTTCAGCATCCTTGCCACAAACTAGCTGCAGGGAAGGGAGCTGGTCGTTCTGAAAAGAAGTTTATGATAAGCAGCCATGCAGTAGGAGGGTGGCTAACAACCAGTCATCTGAGTTATGAGGCTGGTTTGGGCACTAGCTCTATCCTGCTAAAGGACACTAGGGTCATATTCGCCCCACACATTTAAAGCCCTCTTGTACCATTTAGGCTTCCCTCCAAAAAATCCTGGGAACTGTAGTTTACCAAGGGTGCTGGGAATAATCCCAGGATTATTTAGGGGAAATGTGGTTGTGGGACATTATGGGAAATTATGACTGTGACATAATTGTGATTTACATGGATGGTATGGATCTCTGGGTCCACGATTCTCTGGGGAATTGTCTTCTCCCATACCAACCACCTTCCCATTCTGTGAGATGAGATTGCAGGCTCCAAGCCATTCTGCCCAGGTATGACAAATTCCCTTCCCCACAGGCCAGGCATAGGCAAACTTGGCCCTCCAGATGCTTTGAGACTACAGTTCCCATCATCCCTGACCACTGGTCCTGCTAGCTAGGGATGATGGGAGTTGTAGTCCCAAAACATCTGGAGGGCCGAATTTGCCTATGCCTGCCATAGGCTGTTGCAAGGATGGGAATGGGTCGGGAAGAACCTTATGGAGTCCATGAGAAAGGGTGGTGGACTTGCTGATGGACTGATGGGCACTGTGTCCCACTTATGGAGGAGGCATGATGGCAAGAAGATAAAAGGACTGCACCAATTATCAGTGAACATCTTGCCCTGGAAAGTACAGATAACCCCCTCTCTGGCCGTCTTTCGCTCACTGCTCTCATTTTGAAAAGAAATCTATCCATATTCTGCAAATAAAAGAATTAGTTTGATACTATATTATTACACTGAAATATGTTTAGTTGTTTATCTGATGGCCCTTGAACCTTCCTGCCACACTTGCCATCCTCTCCTGCCCCCAGGCCCTTTGAGAACCGCTGAATTAAGATGGAGAGGAGAGAGAGATTTGTGTGTTGTCGGTAGGTTGGCGATTCCATTCTGAATCAGTCTGATATCTGTAATGGAAAAGCTATAGAGGCTCAACCAGTCTTTAGACTATGGCATGTCTAAAGTGAGGGAGCGGCTTAAGCACATGCAGGGCTTTTTCCATGGCAATGGGAATCCTGGCCAATCAGGGCTCTCGCCCCCATGGAGGTAACTCGGCAGGTGCAGAAGCTGCTCCCTTCAGACAGAGCCAACCATATGGGAGCACAGGGGACTGCCTGGCACTGAGTCAGTCCATTGGTCTCTCTAGCTTAGCACTGTCGGCACTGACTGGCAGCAGCTCTCCAGGGTTTCAGGCCAGGGACATTGCTGCCATATGCAGCAATACCATGGGATAGGGCTAGCCCTATATGTTACTGATGGCCTCTTTACACATTCAGTGCCTAGGGGTTCTGGAAGCTGGAATAGGGTGATAGTGTACTTGTGAGCCTGGGAATTTCCTGGGTATTCCTCCAACATTTCACCAATGAATATAGGGACATCCTAAGGAAAAGCAGGACATTCCGGGATCAAATCAGAAATTGGGACAGCTTCTGTAAATCCGGGACTGTCCCTGGAAAATAGGAACATTTGGAGAGTCTGTTTTCCATGCCTTTACACCTTCAAGATAGCAACAAAGGAAGCTGCCTTATACTGACTCAGACTATAGGCCCATCTAGTTCAGTACCATCTCTACTGACAGTGGCTCTCTAGGGATTCAGATAGGAAATTTACCCAGCTGCACCTGGGGATGCCAGGAATTGAACTCAGGACCTTCTGCATGAAAGGCAAGTGCTGTACCACTAAGCTACAACCCTTCCCTGCGGAAATGTTACTGATAGACTAAAATATCCACTTTGGGCTGCCATCTTAAACATACCTAATACAGCGTAGACTCCACTGAGCACAGTGGGTCTTATTTCCAAGTAAACATGAATAGGATCGGTCTGTTGGAAGTCAAGATGATGCCAACATGCAGGGATGCCAACTTGAATAGAATATTGGGGGGGGGGGAGAGAGAAGAAGAAGAAGAAGAAGAAGAGTTTGGATTTGATATTCCACTTTATCACTACCCGAAGGAGTCTCAAAGCGGCTAACATTCTCCTTTCCCTTCCTCCCCCACAACAAACACTCTGTGAGGTGAGTGGGGCTGAGAGACTTCAGGGAGAAGTGTGACTAGCCCAGGGTCACCCAGCAGCTGCATGTGGAGGAGCGGGGAAGTGAACCCAGTTCACCAGATTACGAGTCTACTGCTCTTAACCACTACACCACACTGGCAGGTAATCCCTGCCCTGCATAATTGATCATGAGAAATGGCACATGCATACCATTTGAGTGGCAATGCCCATCAACTTTAGGGCCCCCCAGGCCCCTCAAATATTTTATTGGGGAGCCGAAAGGACCTCGGCCCCTAGGAGTTGGCTCCTATGCTAACATGTTGCTGAGAGCAAGATAGCATGGTAGTTGTGTCATATTGACATGGATTCTAATGGATTCTGATGTCATGAATTCTAATATAATGAAAGAGAGGGCAAAAACAAAACAAAAAACAAAAGCTAAATACTTTTAAGCATTTATTTTTATTTTTGCTAACCCTATTATGTACAGTAGCCAGTGAAGCTCCAAATATTTCAAACATTCCCTAGAAACCAAAAGTTAGAATGGAGCATAAAATGGCACATATGTTAATTTATCAGCTTTTACCATTTGCTCTTGAAAATCAGCAGCAGAAAAATAATAATTAACTGCTAACAGCCGTTTTGTCTCATCTAATTCAAACCAAATGCATACACGACATAATAATTATACCGTTCTAGTTTTACACAGAATAAGCAAAGTCATTGTTACACTAATCCTTTACCAAATTCTCCCACCTATCAAAATAGCAAAATATTATTTTATACATTTTTTAAAAAGTTAATATGTCCATTCAGGGTAGTTTTACATATTTACACAAAAGCAGCACTTCATCAAAGAAGCTATCCGATTTTCTTAAAGGGAGCATTTGCAATGAAAGTTATGGCTGCAAGTCCTCATCCAGCCATTTTCACGCACAAATTCCATTGATTCCTGTAAGATGTATGCATGCATACACACATGCAGAACCTTAAAATCCCACATACAGCCCCAAATCTTAATAGTAGACAATTCCTAATATTGCAATACTTAATTCCTAAAAGTCAAGTCATAAAAATGTTTAAAGGCTAAAAGTACAAATCCTTGTAATTGAATCCCTAGGTTTATGAACAATTGTTGTAATATCTAGAACAGATTTTTAAAAATTGGATCACATCTATTGCCCCAGTCCATCTCTGTTTGCAGCCAATGAGAAGAAGGATCCAGCCCTTAATTTGAGGACACATGTGCCAAGAACAAGTGCTTTGATCATTAAGAAATATTTCGTACATTTCAACTAATCATAACATAGAATGCTACCTTGCATAAGGCAATACATGAACCTAACGATATAAAAACGCTTAAAGGCTTACATAAACTGACAATGAATGTTCCCTGGTATCTGTACCTGCAATAACAGTGCCACATCAAAATGCGGTAATAAGACGTCTTCAGCAAATGCAGTTTCTTTGTCTCCAGTTTCCTGAGTCTGATCCAAACAGGCTTTTGGTCAGGTGCTTTGTAAGCAGATTTAAAGAGCTCTGAAGAGGACGCTCTATAAAATGCATAGACCCACACCGTGAGGATCGTTCTGTGAAATGAATGATGTGCAGCTTCTGGATCTGCTGAAGCTTACCTTTACAATTATCATACAGATATTGATTCAGCTGATCTAAGAAAACAGCCGTGGTGACTATTCAGGCATTGAGGGAAGCATAGCATATGCTATCCCGAACCAAGAAAAGGGTTGTTGATTTTTGCACTAGTGACTCAAATGCCTCAGATTAATGCAGATGTGTTCTCTAACATGTAACATCTGGTATTCAGAGAAGCCTGTTCAGTACAGATGTAGGAAAAGATGCTCCTACACAGAATATCCTAGGCTTGTTGCTATGTGAGCATTCTGTCAGTGCAATGATTTCTGCTTACACCATTGAATATTCTCCCCCCCAGAAATCTGCTCTAGGCGTTCCTCCAACCCTGTGGAGCAGATTTGGAAAAGGGTGTGGTATGAAAGGGGGCAGGAGGAGAGGGAGGGGGAAAGCAGAAAATCTTGCACTAACAGGACCTGTTAGTTGAAGCCTCCTAGATGCTGATGAGCACATCGGTACACAGCCAACATGTGTACAGAGTCAGTCTACACATGTGTGGATGTCCACATAGAGGACTCCCTCCCTGGAAGAAGAATCTCTGCTGAGCAGGAATTGAGTCCCTGTGGGAACCACCCACCCATCCACACATAGTCCGATGATGATTGTGCATCACCCGGGTGCATGGCTAACCTATGTGTCAGCATTTGCCCAAGAGCCCATTTGCATAGATGTGCTGAATTTTAGGAAGATATGGCTTCATTATTTATACTTGGATTATATTTGTGTGTTTCTAAAGGCAGGTTTTAGTGTTAACTTGTTATTTTTTTCCAACATCAAACTCTTCCCTCCCCACCCAAAAAATTCTTGCTTTTGCGGAAAGATGCAGCTATCTAAAACCCGAATGAATACATCACACTATGATTTGCATGAAATCTATTTACAAAACATGCTAGCCACAATGCAAGCTGCTCATAATAAATGTTAAAATCACACTCAAATAAACAGTTTATTTTGTTGCAGCTTTTACTAACATCTCCTGTGGATTTCAATAGCGTATACATTTATTGATAAATAGATCGTAAGAAGATTGTATCCAACATTAGTCCTACTTAGAGTAGACACAGTGAAATTAATGGACTTGACCAACTTATTTTGGGTCAATGGGTCTACTCTGTCAATGGGTCTACTCTGAGCAAAATGTAGTTGGCTCCAATCCGTAGTTTGTGTTGATCTCAGACATGCTCCAAGAACCAGAATTAAGGAAGAACTGACATTCTAGTTTTTGACAAGACCAGTTTGTAGTTCATCTGGTTTTTTTTCTATTTGGTTTTGCGAAAGCAAACTATTGCACATCATTTCCGTAAGAAAGACAGAGGTTAAAAATGGAATAAACTAGATCATCATAGCTAATCCCACTTACAGATGACTACTGTAATGACTCTGAGCATGGCATGGTAATGTGTTTCTTATTGAATTTCAAATGAAATTGCTTATTGCAACTACCGGTAAACCAGTCCCAGGGATGCTTTGTCATCAATTGCAGCTACCTGAAGCAGTTTATTCATTCAATATGCATGGTCTATGGATAATGGGGCTACATTCAGCATTATAACATCTGCTCTTATTCATGCCACCAAGTGTGTTTGCAATCCTGCAAATGGTTGCTGTTGATGTGTGATACTGTTCATGCATGTGTAGTCAGTAGACCACTTCATAAAAATGAGTCACAGCATGCAAAGGCACTGGTTCATTTGGAGGAATGAAGCCTTGCTAGAATAAATAAACTAAAATGCTTGAGATAAGCAATGGAGTCTCACATTATTCACCACCCCTTTAGTATCCTTTGCAAAAATGACATTCGTTTATCCTTTGAATTAACTGCTGCGCCATACAGTGTGGCAAATCAAGGACTATCTCCCCATCACATGTAACTGCTCAGTTACTAGAAACCTGCCACACACACAAACCAGCTGCATTTCTGCGTTTTGTGGAGACAAGAAAGCAAGTATAGACTCAGTAACACTCCATTGCTCTGAAATAAGTTTTAGCTACCTGAAAATCAGAAACATTTTTTGCTTATGATTTCTGACAAGCAAATTTACAAAGATGATTTATATCTCAAAACAACTCTGGAAAATCTATTTCCTGATGTTTGTATTTGACATACCATATATTCAAAATATTGTTTCGTGCAATCAGCCAGTATCAAATCTCCCCCTACCCCGCCAAATTGTAACATGCCAAAATCCAAGCTGGGGAATGCAAGCCCAACATGCATTAACTTAGCTGTCTACGCAGGACGTCTGATTTAAGAAAAGTACAAGATTAAAGGCCAGCTGGAAAGTGCTATTGGCATATCTTGGCTCCATCTTTCCCTTCCCCCACCACTGGAAAGGAGAAAGTGATGAGATGAGTTTCAGTAGAAATGACATCTATGGACGCAGTGCTAGATTTTTTTTTAAGTTTTAAAAATAAAGTCTTTGAAATAGTTAAGACTAAATGTTGCAATGCTTACGGAGATTTCTGTGGGCCCCATGACCATTACCTGCTTTGCGTACAAGGTTAAGACAAAACATGGTTTAGCACGAACAGCGAAAACATGCAGGTAGATGGAGTGTTCCTCCTCAGTCCTGCTGCTACTGTACTTTCCAGGGTTAAGCCATGATTTGGTTTTGCGTCACGTCCAAACCTGGGCTTGCCTCACCCAACAAACCACAACAAAGCATGTGTCCGGGTTTGGCCATAATGCTAAGCCAAACCATGACTTAGTGTTGGATAGTGCAGCAGCAGCAGCAGGACCAAGGGAGAAGAGCACTGCAGCTGCAGTTTCTACTCTGGGAACCTGAACATTTTACTTTGCATTATGTATGTACTGGGTGTGGATGTCTTTCACAATGTTGCTGGTACCTATTAAAGATGTCTGATAAAGGATACTGTAATCACCCCCAAAATGCACCATGATGACACAGCTCTACTTTCCCTTTGCATTTGCAGATGAGGCAGTGGATGCACTGGACCATTGTCTTGCCTTGGTAATGGACTGGATATGAGCCAATGAACTGAAACTTAATCCAGATAAGACAGAGGCAGATGACTATTAGAGGGTGGTTCCCTCAACCAGATGGGTGGGGTATGGCCTACTCTGGATGGGATTATACTTTCTCAGAAGGAGCAGGAACATAGCTTGCGGGTACTCCTGGATCAATTATTGCAGCTTCAGGCTCAAGTGGCCTTGGTTCTGCTGAGTGTTTTCCCCCAGTGCTTTCAACTTGTGGCCCAGTCGTGCCCCTATTTGGACAGGGACTATTTGGATTACTGAAATGTGTCACACAGGGGGCTGCATACTGTTTGGAAACTGCAGCTGGTCCAAAATTCAGCAGCCCGATTGCTGACAGCCCAAATATATAAACACTCATTCTGGCGCAACTGCACTGGCTACCAATTAGTTTCTGGGCTCAATTTCTGGTTTTGACCTATAAAGCCTCAGGACCCCAATGACCTCAAGGACTGCCTCACCTCACACAAACTGACCTTGACCCTGTGGTCATCATGTGAGCCTTTCTCCACGTAGCTCCTCCATGGGAGGTGCAGAGGGTGGCAATACAAGAACAAGCCTTTTCAGTGGTGCCTCTCCACTTGTGGAATGCTCTACCCAGGGAGGCTTGCCATCTTTATCTATGTTTAGGTACCAGGCAGAAACCTTTTTTAGCCCTGGATTTTGGCCCCTCTTTTGAGGGGTTTCAGGTCTATCTGATCTCTGTTAATGTGGCCTGTCTTTTTTACTTGTATAGATGTGTTTTAAAACTTTTATTTGTTGGGTTTATATTATTTTTGTAAGTTATTTCAAGTCACTTTTGTGATAAAAGAGACTAACGAACAAATAAACATGATTTTAATTAAACCAGATCTGCCACACAGTCAAGCATGCCAGGATCTGTATCTTATTGTGGTGCAATTTGCATTGTCATCAGTGCCAACAAGTGCTTTGTTTACAAGCTATGCAGGATTTGGATTTCCAGCAGCAATATTCTGGTGGAATTGCACCATAGGGTTAGTGTATGTTCTCATGGATATGAATCTACAATACACAAAGACCTAGGAGACTGTGGTATGCAAAAAAATCAAACCAAATGAAATCAAAGTCAAAAGCCACACCACCCTGGAAGAGAATATTCTCAGTACGACTGGCAAAGTCAATTATGTTGTCTGAAATAGGTGTTTTTCCCCTCCACCTGGATGATGACAGAACACCACCCCATGCTGAAATCCCATTAGATTATAAAAAGGACAAAAGATCTGCAAACATCTTTTACTTTTTATTTCTATACATTAAGGGAATAATCCAGACAAGGTTGAGCACATGCAAGTCCCATTGATTTCAATGAAAAAGTTAAGCCCATGCTTAATTCTCCCCCAATAAAATCAACAGCCCTTTAAGTGTATCATGTCCCAAGATGTTTGTTGCCTGCAGGAGCAGCTGGCGGGGTTGAGCTGCATTGCATACTTGGCTTCCCAACACGGAGTTCGCTGCCAGTAACAGAGGCAGTTGAGTAACAGTTGAGGTTGTGGGGAGTTCAGCAGGTTGTTGGTACTGGAGCCAACCCACTGCTTGTGCTACTGTGCCTGCTGAAAACCAAGCTACCTGCAGTCACCCCCTCCCTATTAACAGCAGTGACCCCCACATTCAGAAGCCAGGTGAGCAAGGTCACCCCACCCTGCTCTGCCAGCTGCCTACAACAACACCCACCTTTCGGCTCCATTTTGAAAAGCACAAAAGAAACAACCCTAATCAGAGAAGCTACTTGATGGTCCCAGACCAGTTAAGATTTAAGAGATCTGCTGTGTATTTCCACAGTGTCATCCTTAACAGGTTTATTCAGAAGTAAGTCTCACTGTGTTCCATGGGCCTACTCCCTAGTTAGGGCTGCAGCCCATGTCAGTATTTTCATACCCAGTTTGGGTTACTTTGGGAGACCAGCCTGCCAAATTAACCTGTAAAGATGATCTGTGTCCAGACATTTATAACCTTTCCAATTATACTTTTGGATTGCTTTGGAAGTGTTTTGGGCAAAACCAATAAGCCAGAGACATAGTAAATATTAGGAAATACGGGGGGGTTTGTTCTCCTATCGTTTTTACAGACAATACAAGATGGGTAAAAGTAAAAACAGAATGTCCTGCGAGCTTCTGTCTCAACTAAATAGCTTTATTTTCATGATATAAAATACATTACTAGAGAGAAATCTCTTTCTCATAAATATATGAGGATGGCTCTGGTATTCAGAGCAGAGAAATCTAACGACCTCCTCAGTTCTAGTTCCAGCTGTGCCTCAAACTCAATCCAAGCTGGAGCAAATCATGACTTCTCTCCACATCCATTTCCAGGGCTGTGCAAATGGAGGATCCTTACTGTACTTTCTTCACAGTTGTGCAATAAAATGTATCCAGTCCATAGTGGAGTCGAACTTGACGTACTCTGACAATAAGCGTTAGAGGCAAGCCATAATGGTGCAGCAGAAGGAATGATGAGCAGAACAGCCATGGAAATTAGACTTAGAGAAGCTGATGTGGAAGGGATGGAATCTTAACCAGCCAATATTGCTCTTGCAGTGACATGACTGCAAGAAGAATCAATTACAAGTCTATTTGTACAGTACCTGTAAAAAGATCATGAGCCCGCAAGTATTACAGTACTAGAGGCAAGACCACCTTGTGAGTAAACAGTTCACAACAATATTATCTACAGTGCATTTGCTCATGACATTTAAGCACTTGGGCCCCAATTTAACTAAATTTAATCATGACTTAAGTCCCACTGAACCCAATGGAACAAGCTGGTCGTGGCTAACTTGAGTTCTATTGTTGGGTGGAAGCTTTCAGCTGCAAGACTCTATGCTGATGAATTTCTCCTCTTTATATTTAACATGCCCAGTACTAAATAAGTAGGCCATTAGCAAAATAAAAATTTGAGTTCTGTCCTCCCCTCTACCACAATATAACATCCAACCATTTTAAGCATTAGCACCATGGGTTTCATGCAACTGGAGACAACAAACAATAGTTTCATGACATCTTAGAAACAAGGATTGTCTTAGACTTAGACCATGGTTTGTCATTTGTTTCAGATACAGACCTTTCAAATATGTCCTCTTCATTAATGAGAAAATACATTAAAAAAAATAATAATGAAATACTTTTTTTCTAATTAGAATAGAACAAAATTTATATTGGCAGACTCTGTATTTCAAAAATTAGTATTTAATGTTAGGTGTTACTTTCAAAAAATGAAGAGGTAGGTGCATTTCCACACAAGAGAAGTTGTAACAGATATAGTGGACAAATAAGGGTAACATGTAGTTTAAGAGACTATAAAACAAAACTATGATAAAAGAGGGCAAGAATAAATCCATGTCCTAATTAGGGAATGATTTGGTCTTAAAACAAATAATAGGTTCAGAAAGATTTATACAATATTCGTATTTTCAAAGAAATGTCTGCTCCAACAAGTCAACTGTACCCTTGGTTAATTGTAGTATTAACCATTGGATTGACAGGATATGCTTCAGCAATTCTTTCTTACATTACCAACACCAGCAGTCTAAAAGTTTACATAGAGATCATGAGAGTCTTAATAATTACATAATTACAATAGAATTTTTAAAGTTGAAGGGTTGTTGTTAAAACGATCTTCATAAATAATGTTTTCTATCTCTTCAATAACCTAAAGGTCAATTGGTATAGATAGGATAACGTTTCTTTCTCTTTTACAACCAATTTGGAGACTCCTCACTGCCAACAATGGTTAAGGCCTGGATCGAGTTACTCTCCTTTTGCTTTTTTCTGCTTTTTTCCATTTTCCACAACTAGACCATTTTCTGGTTTGCTTATACCATTTGCCACAACACCATTGGTAATCTTGCCATTCTTTACAGGCTGCTTGGGCATCTTGTATGTCCGATAGTAGAAGTTACCAAACAAGATAATGAAAGTGCTGGCATAGAAAATGACGCCCCAGTGCATCCATTTAGGAAAGGGACAATCAATATAAATAGACATGGCCGTGTGGCCAATTGTCACGTGGAACTGAATCTGAAAAGGTAGAAAAACAGAATGTCAAAGATCCTGATCAATAAGCTTCTGCTCGATTGCATTTTATAATGTTTTTTGGGGGAAATCTGAATACTAAACAGATATTGAAAAGAATTAACAGGCAAATTGCAAAACCGAAGGTATACTTTTAAAAAATGATTCACCAACACATCACAGAGAAATGATAATAGCTATTAGGTGGAAACGGAAAAAGAAGACATGTTTCTCCTATTCTGCTATTCATAATATTCATGACCAACAACTAGGCTTTACTGTACTTTTCGGAACTGTTCTGCAGTGGCTCTTCAAACTCTGCTGAGTGACAACCACCACAATCCCTGGTCATTGCCCATGCTGCTTATGGCTGATGGGAGATGGAACCCTGAAGCTGGAGGGCCACAGGTTCCCCATGCCTGATCTACAGCCATGTATTTCGGAGAAGGGGGTGGTGGTCCATAAATCATCTCCCCTAATCTGGGTTGTTCCTCTGCCAGCAATATGGAGGGATTAATCTGGTCTTTAAAATCCAGAAAAGGATTGCATAAGATAATAACATAAGAATAGCCTGCTGGATCAGGCCAATGGCCCAGCTAGTCTGGCATCCTGCTCCCCCAGTGGCCAACTTTTCATGTGTAAGACAACTATTTCATGCAGCCAAACCCTTTGTGCACAGTGTTATCACTGGATTCAGTGTGAACAGATTTCGATGAATTACCGTATACTTTCCATTCTACAGTTATTTCTAAGATATTCTGCATGCAAATAGGTATGTAAGATACTGTTTTGGTTCATACTCATTACCTGGAGCTATTTCTACACATTTCATTTCATTGTATTCAATTCTATTCTTTCATCTGGCTAGAATACCAATCTCATTCTTGGTTGCTCTTTCATGTCTATGGTGTGATCTGAGTACAGAGCATCTTGCTTCAAGAGGTACATGGTGTGTGTGGATGCATGACATCCACCTAGCTTTAAAGTTCTAGCATTCAAGGTTCTAAGTATCCTAGGTAATAGGTTTTTTAAAAAAAAAAATTACTTACCAGCTGCATTATGGTCAAGTATCGTTTCCACCAAAGGTACTTGTGAAATTTTGGGCCACAGGCAGCTAGTCCATAGTACATGTACATAATAACATGGATAAAAGCATTGATTTGTGCTCCAAAAAAAGCTGTCGAGAGGAAGAAACAAAGAATGATGTTATCTGAAAGTTGCAAGAGGTGTAACCTCATATTCTCCTTATTTCTATTATTCCCGTTACACATTAAAGTAAAAGCTTAGATAATTTGGTTTCATAGTACATTATAATAATTACAGCCTAGTATTCACAGTGGAAAGGTATTTTCTGTTCTAAATATAAAATATGGGAAACATTTGCAATGTACATCATATATCAGCTCATGGGGGGCAACCTCAGTGGCCGACAGAGATCTGTTCTCCCTCCTTCCGTGTGAGTGCACCTGCACATAGGCAATAAGCTGAACCATCGTGGACAACACCCCATATTGCCACTCAGTCCTCGCCTTTTACCCTTCTCCTCCATTTGCAGGCACTGTACCCAGTCTAGCAGAATGTCCAAATTCTTATTCTTAGTTGTATGACATCATAAATATACATAGGGCTTTATAGAGTATAATATAAACAGGAAAAGGTGGAGGTTCCTGTCTTGAGGACCTTACCATCTAAATTAGCCTCTGTTGCATTACAACCCTGCTCTGACCTTTTACTCCCTTGCATGACACCCTGTGGCTCGTCTTGAGCCACACATCACCTGCAGGTAATAAAATGAGTGTTCTGGGATGGGGGGGGAGGTAAGGGCTGGTGTGTAAGCTGCAAAAGGTTGCCAAGTTCATTCAGTCATGCTTGCCAGGTCATAATGTGTCAGCAAAGCACCAATGATGGATGCAGCTCCACTGCTGTAAGTTGTCGCCTCCCTTTTGGGTTCTCATACCAGTCTCAAAGTAGACCCAATGAAACCACTGGACTTAATTAATGTCAATGAGTCCACTCTGAGGATGACTTATTCAGTTATCACCTGAAATATTTTAACCACAGTGGATTTGCGATGTGCTGACTGTTAAATAATATCAACTGTTTTAAAAATACAGGGGGCATAAACAGAAATCACTCTTATTAGTTTACAGTGAACTCAGTAAGGAATGATGCCCAGGGAAGTCTGCACAGGATTACAAACTGTTCTCAAAATTCCAATATAGTTGCAAAATCAAATTGCATACTCTGAATAAAACAACAACAACAAAACCAGAAAAAGCTTCAAACCAAAACTATTTTGCAAAGGGCATTTTTCTATCTGGATCCAGAAGGAAGAAGTCATTCCTGTGCTCTCCTAATTAATGATGGTTATCAAGCTGTATGACATGATTAGCATGAATAGTCTTTGAAGAACTTATAATTTAAGAAAGGCAAAGCAAACCAAGGTCAGAACTATGGTATTACAGGAAATGAAGATGTTCCAAATGAGTTGATGTGAATATAAGATGAGCAAAATGTCTGGGAAATAATTACAGGGTTCTGCACTGTGTGTTTGCAAACAATTTCTGTGTTTAGAGTATAATTTATATCTGTTGCCTGCTTTATATACTAGGCTTGCTAACGGACACACATACATATATATACTTATGCATATATAAAATGTAGTGAATCTGCTAATCATACTTTTCTGGAAGTAAATCCCATTGAAATGAACAGGACTTAATTCTGAATAAACATGAATAAGCTTGGGCCTTACATCCTTTAATCACCATGGAAATATTCTGGAATAAGCAAGGCAGAATAAAATAATCTCTTCTTTTTCATGGTTGCTGAATTTTAGATTGAGCAAGCCAGATGTATGTGTTGCTTCACACAGCAAGTTTACTTAAATGAAAAAAAGAAGAATTTGCATGTGAAATCCGAATCATGCATTCGTGCCCATGTGAAGTGTTTCCTAATTCCTAGTAGTGCAATCATATACTTCTTTCCTCCCCCTCATTTCCCAGAGAAGGAAGGAATCTACCCTTTAACTTTAGCATTCCAGAATTGAAAGGGCATTCCATTACTCCAGAAGGAAACAATATTTACAAGCTACTGTCAAAATGAATATTCGCTTCCAGGTAGAGTCCCCACTTTGTACTCCTCATTTGGGAAGATAAACAAGACTACTCACCTTGCCCTCCTGCAACCCATTTTATGCCAATCCACCACAAAGTAAACATAGTGTAATGGTGATAGACATGAAGAAAACTGATTTGGTTAAATTTTTTTCTTAGGATGAAGAATACTGTATCCAGATACTCAATTCCTTTTGATACGAAGTACCACCATAAAGCCCCAGCTATCTGTAATACAGAAAGAAGAGCGTAAGAATTCATATACCAATTTGGAGTTCAGATACACAGACCATGTAGCCCAGTGTCTGCCATTACATAGACCTCTAGAGCTGAAGTCACTTACCTGAGGTTCTTCAAATATTGTACTACAATTCTCATCAGCCCTCACCAGCACAGAGAATTGGTCCCAAAGGGATGCTGAAATTCAGCAACATCTGGAGGGCCAAAGATTCCCCACGTTTTTCTACAGTCTTGTTCACTACTACCTGATTCTTTGTTTAGAGTTTCTACAAGTTTATTTGTGGCTTCATTTCAAAGAGGTAAATAAAAAAGAAATCGTTTTTGTGCATTCTCTTTCTCTTAGGGGGGAAAAGGGCTTTTATAAACAAGATTGTGTTCTGTGAAGCCATTCATTGTGTGCTGTTCACTCCTTGAAATTAATAGACATTAATATATACACACCCCATCCAGCCCCCTCATCTCACAACAACAAAGATAAAACTGTAGCTTCAGAGACATGAATAGGACTTCAACTTAAACAAAACAAAACAGAAAAACCCTCTCAAAACGTATTGTAGCAATCTGACTATGAAAGAGCTAAATGTAGAACACAGTTTATTATTATGAGCTGGAACAAGACTCCAGTCAGTTTCTCCCCAGTTTCTCTAGAAAATAAACAGCCAATGTTCTTAGTCTACAAATAAAGTGAATTTTATTCATACTGCAGTCTTTAGCTACTGCTGGAAGCAAGCCCTATTTAATTCAATGGGGCTTATTTCTGAGTAGACATGTATAAAATCATGCTGTTAAACGGTGTTCCTATAACAAACAGCTGAAGCCTTAACTGATATTAATGTATTAGGAAAATGGACTTTGAAAAGACAACCTTCTCCATATGCCCACCAAAATGGCTGTAGAGGGTGGGGGTGGGGCTCTTCAGCAGATGGAGGCAAAAAGGAAGGAGAGGGAGGGGGAAATTGATTGTGAGAATGGATGCTTCATTTGACAATGGGTTTCACCCTTTACATTTTGTTATTTATTTTATTTTAATTCTTTAGAAGCTGAGTGTACCACAGCTGCAGCACTGAAACCACAAGACACTAATGCAGATCTTTTAAAAAGGCCATTTTGTGACTCTTTTGCTTTTTTAATCTTTTAAAAATTCTTTTATGGCCATAAATAAATAGGTAAACAAAGGGCCCATGATTCCAGCACTGATGCACACTCCTCCCCAGTTTTATTTTTCAAAAAGCAGCAAGCATGTCGTTTTGGAACAAGGCAACCTCCCTCTACAAAAGAAAATATTGTTACAGTTCACTTTGACTGTCCAAATAACCTGTGGCACACTTTTAATTCAACCCCTTTAAGGTAAAACACCTTAGATTTAAAGTACTCATAACAAAATAAATGCACACTTACAGGTGTTCTAAGTCTGTAAACTGTTAATGGCACAACCTTATGTATGTTTATTCAGAAGTAACTGCTACTGAGCTCAGTAAGGTTTCTTCCCAAATAAGTGTGCATAGGAATTGAGCTTAAAGCACTTAAACTGGGCTGGGGTGACCCTATACACTATGCATGAAGTTACATCCTTTGAGTATATTGGATTAATAGATTATTAATAGGACAAGCAACAGGATAGTAATTATAGTAGGTAACTCCTTCCTGGCTGTTCAGTCTTTCAACACTGCAATACTAATAATAGGTAGTTATTCTACTTAGTGATTGTTAGTTCTTTTATTACAGGAAAAGTTTTTTGTAACGGTCCCTTATTTGATCTGTCTTACACATGAAGAAGGCTGCAGGATCTAGTCAAGATTCTATAATCTATGATGGAAACCTGATGGATCCATACCTGCATTCTATCCTTTATTTGTCTTTTAGAGCTCCACTCATCTTTACATTTAAAACAGCATTTTACAAATAATAGTGTATTACCACTCTGCCATTTTTTCAACTCGAAAGAGTGAAACAGTTTTTTCTTTTCTCCATATTTTGAACATTTCTTCCTTGGGCATTTCTAATTAACACTGAAGAACCAAAAAGACCAACTACTTTGGGTAAGGTTTAGGAAGAAAGAACATGTCAAAGAAGCATTAAAGAGTTTAGCTAATTCTGCACTGGTGATCTGGCAAATCAGATGAAAGCACTTTTTGCTTTTGGTTGACTATATTTATCACATTCTGAATTCTTGCCTCTTTCCCCAGACACTTTTGATATCAATGGTCCTCAAAATTGAGTGGGATATAAATAAAACCAGTTTGTTTCCTTCCCTGCTTGTTGCCAGACTTGCTCTGAGTCTTATAAGGCAAACTATTTGGGATACATGCGGGTGTAATGGGAAAGGAGAGGGAAGATGAAGGGAGACTCCTACAGAGCTAGGAGTTCCCAGATATAAAGGTTATTCAAAAGTGGTTTTAAAATGCACATTGCTCAAGAAGTAGCATTGTTTGCCCTGAGCCAGATAGTCATGTATTTAACTCCCACATCAAAGCCTGTGCTAACACCCACTAATGATAGCTATAGTAGCTCTGAAGAGCGCTGCACTGATTAAGACACCACCTTTTGGGAGAAGTTAAAGAACAGAATGCTACATTCATTTTCATTAACTGATCAAATAAAGTTGTGACACTTACAAAGAATATTCAAGATTCTTACTTAACGTATATACAGCAAGTACTAAGGGTTGTTTCCAATGTTAGTCTTATTCAGAGTATACCCATTTAAATTGATAGGCATGACTACTAACATAGGTCCATTTATTTCAATGGGTCTACCTGGAGTATGACTTACTTGCATACAACCCTAGGAACTTTATCATGCTGCTTCTCTTACAGGAACTTGAGTGACACAACCTGTGCTTGAAAGATGGATGTTTAGGAGACTTGCAACTTCTGGATAAAAGTTTGTAACTTTTATATTACAAACGTTTACTATTACTATATGATCCTAACTAACCTAAAAGGAATGATCAATGCTTCTCTTACCTACGAAAAATACTATTGTGGGTGATTGTGCAGTCATTTTCCAGAAATGCATGCCTTTCCCTTCTCTGTTATGCGGAGTTCTTGCATTCAAAGTACATCTATATTAGGTTTGCCATATGTCCAAAAAATACCGGAAATGTACAGAAATTGGATGCTGCGGAAACTTTTTTAAATGTTAGAGATCTCCGGAATTTCCTGAACATATGGCAACTCGGGTGTTTTCGGTTTTCTGGTTTTTTAAAAAAAATCCAGGGGAGGTTGTGACCCAGCAGCATTGGAAGTGATGAGAGGTCACTTCCCTTAGCCAGGGAGGGGGGGGGGCAGAGTGAGGAGATGTGGGACAGAGGAAGGCGACGCAGAGGCCTAGCCGCCCCTAGCGTGTTGAAAAAGGGACCCTGTGCCAGGGATGTCCCGCGGGTAGCTCAGTCGCAGCAGCAGAGGCCGTGAGAGAAGGTCTGCAGCTGGGCGCTCGGGAGCTGCTAGAATGGCCACCTCACCCAAGAGGGCTGAGGTGGCCATGTTGGTTTGGCTCGCCAGCCAGGCACCTCCTTGTTTTGCCGGGGCAGGATGCAGCCGCTCAGGGCCACCATCTCCTTCCAGCTGCAGCACCGTCAAGGCGGAGATGGGGGCCGGGCAGGTAGGTGTGTGTGCGTGTGTGCAGGAAGCAGTTTAAATGAGACATGGATAGGCCTCGAAAGCGAGGGTAGCAAACTGTGTGGAAGAGGAACAAAACCGGCTGTGGTAAGTTCGAGGTTGTGGGGGGGGGAGGTGGCAGTGCCCCACTACACATTTCTGAGGGTTGTTGGGGGCCTGAGCAGCTGGGTGGGGTATAGTAAAGGGGAAAGTAAGGTGAGGGGCTGTGTCAGAGAAAGGGGTGCATTGGGGCCTGGCCAAAGAACAACAATTTCAGTGGTGTCAGGAATTTTACTTTTTGAAATATGGCAATTCTAATCTATATATCAAGGTGTATTTGATGGTGTGCACCATGTGGATGGCCAAATAGCTGCCCCTGTTGTTTTTTTACATAGCAATCTCCGCCCCTTCAATATACAATATAGCTGTATTTTTAATTAGGTGACTTTGCTAAGGTCAATATGCTGGCTTCTTTGTATTAATTTTGTTCCCGCAGTCACTCCTGCTGTGGACTGAAGGTGCAATTATCACCACTGTAATATGCTTCAGAAACCTAACTCTGGAAATGTCAAGGGGACAAGCAGAACCCACATTATTTTTAATATGTATATAAGTTGAAAATATACTATTAAATCTGGAAACGTTTGCCCTTTGTTTGCCCTTCTGGATCTGGAGTAAAAATGTGTGACAAGGTATAGACTAGACTCTCTTCAAGGGTATGTAAATATCTTAAATAAAATTATAAACAAATACCGCTTGGGTAGAAAACTTTAATTGCTATGGTCTGGGTTCACATGTCATCTAAACTATAATTTAAATAAACAATTTAATTTCATTTCCCCAAAGCAAACTATGAGCAGTAAATGAAGACCAAACCTTGGCTTCTGCTTATGATTTGTTTAAAGAAAAACAAACTGTGAGCCTGGGTTCAGAGAACATGGCAAGGCACACCATGGCTTTCTTCCCACCTCCAAAGTAACAGCAGAAGGAGAGGAGGAGCAAAGCACCCACCATTTCAGCAGCATGCGCCAGCACACTAATGGTTCACATTAAACCATTGTTTATTTTAACCATGGTTTATTTTAACTATGGTTTAATGTGACATGTAAACCATGGCCATATGAGAAATCGCACTGTGTTTTAGCAGAAATGACTAAAATTTAAGTGCATTTAGGAACAGAGAATAACAATTCAATCAGAAGGATGTCCTGATTGGTTCAGGTAGGACTGCAGTCTTAATATCCTAGAGGAATTAATCAGAGAAAGTTAAGTGTGCCTAAGGCTGCCATTCATGCACCATGGGATTAATCCCCATTGAGAACACTGAGCTTATTTCCAAATCAACTGATCAGGCCGCATGCCTGATGGGGATCAAAAGAACATGGTTAACTGCTTCAGTCATAAACCTATCAATCATTCTCTGTATTAGCAAACTCACTATGGTTTTGCTCTGACCAGAATGAAATGCCAAACCAAAACTGAAGAGCAGGTATTCCTAACTGTGGAAGAGTGATTAAAAAGAAATGAGATGCACAACATTCTATCTGCTTCTGTTGCATTCCATAAGGACTTTGCAGCTAGGAGACAGAAATGGTGAGTGAAATCAAACAGGCACTGTTCTCTAAAAGGGTCTTCATGATGTGTAGCGTTTGGTTCCTTTGTTTGATAGTCAATAAGCTCAGGACTGTATGAAGTCTAGAACTCCGCCATTCAGATGCACAATTATTCTCCTGACATGGGAACGCAACTGACCACAGACTTCCTAACTCCTTTTAATTTTCCAACTCCAAATAATTTAAATTCCCCATGACTGCTTATGCCTAGATTTCCCACAGCTCTACAAATACACCTTGTGACCTTTCAGTCCAAGAACATTAAATAAATGCAGATTTTATTTTACTACCCCGTTGTAAGTCGTCTGCTTTACTTTTTTTGTGGGGCTTTTTTTTTTTTCTGAGATCCAAAGTGAAATAAAAACTGTAATTTAGCCAGCATTATACCTGAGGATATATGTAACTATTATTATCTCAGTTTTCATATGAGCAAGAGAGAGGGGGCAGGGGAGATAAAGTATTTAGCAAGATTGCCCAAGGCCAGAGACGCAATCACTGACACAGATGAGAACATACAGTTTTACATGTATTATGCTTTCTGCACTGTGGTAATAGGTTAAGAACAGGCAAGTTGCATTGTTGGAAACAGCAGCAAAAAAAGTAGGACACAATTGTTGAATTGTGCTATAAACTTATAATAAAAGCTAGTTTGACAGACAGTAATGACATAATAACACATTCTAAAATGCCTAAAATGTTCTAAATATCAGAATTATTTCAGAAATGTGTTTAACTATTCCCCTGTCCCAGTAAGCATTGATACATGTAAAATCTAAGTCTGTTAAGACACCAGATGGCATAGAAAGATTACATTAACAACTACGATTAAAGGGTCAGTGAGAGGTCCCTGATCTTCATACCTTGCACTTCAGAGTCAACTTCACGTTTGTGATAACTGATTTCACTGGGAGTTCTTTTAACAGTAGGCTTTTGCTTCCTTTGTTCTATGCCTGAGCAGTGCCAGCACTAGCCTTTTTTGAATGGGTACTACATAGCTTGTGGTGGGGTTTTCCGGGAGGTGGGGGACTAATGACAAGAAGGGGGGAAATAATAAAGTACAATCTACCAGTAAGCAGAATTTGCAGAGCACAACTTCTTTTGTATTGTTTCATTTTAAGGAAAAGAGATACACTTTGATCTAGATGAACACAGAGCACTTTTGTGCACAGAGAAGCACAGTTTTAGTAACTCACCTGTGTAAACTGGCTTCCTCCATTTAAATGGTTGGGAAAGTGTTCTCCGAAAGGGGAGCTTGTGTGCACATTGGCCTGGTTTGCACTTAATGCTAAGCCAAACTATAGCTTAGTGTGAATAAGCAAGTGTGTTGGCACCCTTAGCAAATTGTAGCCATCAACCCTCCCTTGCTTCTGCTGTTGCTGCGGTACCATGAGCTAAGCCATGGTTTGGCTTAGCATTACATGAAATCACGGGCTTGCGGTTTGTCTTGCTCCAAACAAACCATCAGTAGCAACCAAGGCATGTTCTTAGCTAACTGAATGTAGTTTAGGGAAGATAAATCACAAGCCTAGGTTTGCATCTATGGGTTGGTTCCCAGTGACAGGGAGGCACTGGCAGGAGTAAAGGAGGAGTGATGTGGGTATGTTTTTCTAACTGTGCACCAGCACACTTGCTTATTCAAGCTTAGCTTTAGCATTATGTGCAAACCAGGCAATGAAACACTGCTGGGTTGTGGCAGGGCATTACAATACCACCCTTAATTATAAGGCAGGATGCTGAACTTTTAGAGTCAGAATGCCACACGACACAAACGTTAAAGAAGGATGATTATTTCCTAGTCTTTGCTTCCTAGTTATTTCAATATTTGCAAAAATTTAGTTAGAAAAATTAATCACACTTAGTCAATATTAAAAAAAAACAACAACAGAGAGATCTGTAATATACAAGTAATATAATCCTTGATCCAAGCATACATCTTCCTTGATCCAAATATTTAGCACCATAGAACATGTCGCACCATCACCAATATTGTGAACATTCTGCCTGAAAAGATGACACACACATCAAAGCATCATAAGTTCCTCAGCCTACAGTGTTCACAGAAGTCTTTGCTGTGAAGACAGTTCCATTTTTGGTCTACTACTCCCTAAAACCCTTTCTAAAGTGTGATCAAGGTCCATGGGAGACTATTCAATGCCGCAGAGAGATTCATTTTAATTCTTAATGAATGTTGCATAGCAGCAGAGGCTACTTGATTGCGCCTATAGTATTTCTCAAAGATAGCTATCTGTGCTTGAGTGTAGGTGTTTTTCTGAACTGAAGCCAAGTGGAAATTCTGCTTCTGTGTATGACATACTAGAATTAACAGGAGAGAGGAAACTTCTAGTCATTCGTTTGTTTCAGGGAGGGAACTAAATTATTGTTGCTAAATCCCATGATTTTATCAGTAGATTCACGTAATAGCAACTAGAATTAAGGTCTGTCAAAACATGCTGAAACAAAACTCAAATGTTGCCTCCCTAAATGTAATACAATGCAGTTGGTAGAAGCTGATACAGTTAATTTATAAATAACTAAGTACTGGAACACCTCATTTTGAATCTGTTTTCCAGCTTTCAGTCTCTCATGGATTCACACAAATAACTGGAAATCAGTTTACAAGAGGTTATGTACAGAAATTATTTGTACATCTACATCAAAAGCACAGTCCAGCTTGCTGTTACTGCAGAATTTTGGTTATTATTTTTAAAGATCAGATTCACACTTGTGTTCTGTGACTTAGTATTAAAGCCAACTGGCTGCCTACAATGGTTCAGCAGATTTTCACCACGGCAACACAAACCCAAAGAGGAGTTGAAAACAAGAGATTAAAAATGCCTGAATTATCAGCATCTGATCTTAGGTGTGAAACAATATTTGCATTTGAAGCTTTATCTGAATCTGCATCCCTGGGAGAGCTTCTTATGGAGCAACCTAAAGCGTCTTCCATTTTCTATGGAGTAACCTGCAGCAGCATCTTCATATCGCAACCAGGACAAAAAAATTGTATAGAAATAAATGGTAATTGGGGCCCATTAACTGGTAACCCAGAAACAGTCACCATGGGGTCACTGACGAGCATGAGCTGGCACTTACTAGCAAGGAAATGTGTTTCAGCTAGGAGTGTACAACTGTCAATGAAGACACCTTACTATGAAGTAGTCATATGATTTTTATCTATAGTAGGTGTTATGGGTGTGCAGAAGACTGTGATGATGCCTTAGCCAAAAGGGAAGGATTCTGGCCTTGTCCAAGGTGAAGTTGGATTTGTACAAGGTGCCCTGAACTGAAGCAGGGACCCTACAAAGTGCTACATGGAGCCTTGGCAATTTGTGCATCCAAAAAGCAAGTGTCTGCTAAATGCAAGAACGATAGCTAAGCTTAGAATATTTACACTCACTGTTATAAGCAACTAAGAGCCACATACTACACCTGTACAGTCATACCTCGGGATAAATACGCTTCAGGTTGAGCGCTTTCGAGTTGTGCTCCGCGGTGACCCGGAAGTAACGGAGTGCGTTACTTCTGGGTTTCGTCGCTTGCGCATGCGCAGACGGTCAAAATGTCGTCACGCGTATGCGCAGAAGCGGTGAAACACGACCTGTGCATGCGCAGATGCGTCTTAAGTTCTGTTCGGGATGTGAACGGGGCTCCAGAATGGATCCCGTTCGCATCCCGAGATACCACTGTAATTTGTCACCATCGTTAACATCATACACAACCACACCCCTACAGGTAATAATAATCCATTATTGTGTTTGATCATATGTGGTGCCGACAGTAACTCAGAAGGAGGGGTGGGGAAATGGGCAGAGGTGTTGGCAGCAGCACTGGATGTTTTCAGTTTTCCCCATGCCAAACTCAAACACACCTTTATTGCTGCAGGCAACAGCAGAGTTACATAGCAGCTACAGGTTTCCTGGAGATGTTGGGGACTGAACCTGCGACCTTTTTCATGCAAAGCAGATGCTCAGCCACTGAGCTACGGCCCTTCCATAGTGGGAGCAGCAGCAGAGCCATAGTCTGAGACGAGTTTGAGTTAGCAGGGATCCAGCTATGATATCGACCTGCACTGCAGGAGCTGAGCAGGGGGAAAGTTCCTGGGCACTAAGCCACTACCAGCCTCATCATGCACCAGCATCAGACCCTCTTGCTCAGAGAAGAGGCAGAGAAGCCAGGCAGGAAGGGGAACAAGTGTGCAGAGAGAGCAAGCGAGAAATCCCCCTCTCAAGAAGCAGAAGCAACTACAAAGGATTTCGGGGTGGCGGAGGTATAGGTCTACAAGATTGAAGTTTTTCAATGCCAGCACTGAGACACTCAAACATACTGCTCAGTGCCCGACCAAGAGGCACCTATCAAAACCACTGAATTGGTGCCCCCAAACAAAAACACAGTGGAGAAAGCAAAACCCATTTAGTTCATCTGTGAAAGGTGCCTAGCTGTATTTGAGTTTACCCATTTGGGATTTCCCCCTCCTAAGGATTTTTTGGAGGATCAGCTAACCTCAGACCTAACTTGAGTTTGCTGAATCTTTCTTCTTGTATGTAAATTGTGTCTTTTTGGCTTTGTCTCTACAAGCATGGGATGACTTGAATTGGAAATATAGAGAATGATAGATATGCTTAAGACATTGTATCACGATTTTAAGCAAAACAAACCAACAAACCATGAATTTTTGGGTGAAACGACATGTTAGCATGCTTAAGCCAGACACTGTTATTCCCATGGAAGAGTAGCCGTGAGAGGCCCAGTCATCAAGGCGCACATCCAGGGCCCCACTGAAAATTGTCCCCTGAGTTGCTGTTTCTCTCCTCTTCAAAGCTGCTGTTTACAGGTGTGGGATATTATTTTTGGCGGGAAACTGGCACAGGGCCCCAGTCTAGATTTACTGCACTTTTTGTGTAAAACGTAACATGGTCCTTTAAAAAGTAAGTGTTTTGTGACAGCTTTGTATCAGTAATAGTTTGTTCTCAACAGAAAAAGAACTAGTAGCAGAAAACTGGCACAGTATGATAATCATTCAAAAGCTGAGTTATAAATGGCAGACTTCACAACGGACATAAGTTACTACTCACCCTGACTTCATATTCATTATCTGAATAATCCACACTCTGACAGATATAGCTGTATCCTCGAGCTTTTGATGCCAAAAGTAGCTGAAAATGTTAAATTCACAAATTAATGTTTCATAGGCTTGTTAACGATTATTCATAAAAGCAATCACTTCTTTAATTAAATATTTATTTGCAAATTGGCACAAAGAGGGGTCACAGTGCCTTGTAAAAGGCCTGCAGTTTAACCATATGTTCCTTCTTATTGTGAAGGACAGATGCCCATTTAAATCCCCTTCAATGCACATTTAAACCCCCTGATTCTTCCAAGGAATCCTGGGAATTATTAGTTCCACCTCAGAGAGCTACAGCTCCCAGCCCCCTTAACAAACGAGAGTTCCCAGGGTTCTTTGGAGAAAGCCATGAGCTTTAAATGTGTGGTATGGATCTGCCCAAAGCCTCATCTCCAGTGTGATGTGGCAATTCACTTCCAACTGAGGCCCACACACACCTCGCCTTACAGCCTCCAGCAGCCTGTTTCTTCTCCATGTCCCTAGCATCCATATTACTCAACAAAAGCAGGATGAGAGAGCTGCTCACAGGGCCTAGGCAAGCCTAGGCAGCTTAGTGTCCCAAGGTGAGGTGCAGTCTTGCCTTTAAGTGACTGGTTTGTCAAGCTGATGCACTAGGCATGAGGGTGGCATTGCAGGTGTTAAGGATCATTCATACTGGAGTCTCATAAGAAGCTACTCCACCCCTTCTTCAGAAGGGCAGGGTTCTGGCCTGTGGCCTTTATGTGCAAATTGAAAAGGCAAATTAAAAAAATTAACTTCTCATTTCATAGCATCCCTCATTCAGGCATCAAACCACAGTCAACTAACTCTAAGCCTGCAAAACAACAAAACAAACTCCAAAATAAATAGAAATTCTGAAGACACCTGTCTTCCATTTTTGGCTAGCTATTTAATATCTCCAATTCAAGTTTGCTTCAATAAAACTTTCACAAGTGGCTTATAGACTGCGCATAATTTAGAGTGCTCCCATACAGGGCCGGGTATAATCTTAACTTTGCTGGACCATAAAACCATTTGGCTTTTCTGTTGGAAGGATGAAGTGTTTGATTATGGTTCTGTACCCAATATTAGCAGATGGGATTATATTTACAAAATTTCTCTGCTTCATTGTTGAACTGCAACAGCGTTGAATACAGTTTTGGGGAGGATTTGTAGAACTGACTTTTGAAAACTAGCCTAAAGAAGAATTTCTCCCAATCGAGATAATCTCCAAAATAAAGATAATAGCTATTGAAATATTTCAATTTAATTTTCCGAAGGTACAGTATTACAATAATGATCTTGAGGAGAAGAAATGAAATTGGGATTCACAGTCCTATCAAAGAAGTTGTCTTGTTAATTTCAACTGTTACAAATTGCTTTAAAGTAAGTATGTCACCAATTCAGCCCATCATGTACCAGGTGTTAGGACAAGCATACAGAGCACTCAACTCAGCAGAGCAGCAAGATGGAAAGTCTAAGGAAGAGGGAGAGTCCCCCCAGAGTTAAATGGTGGGGTAGGAGAGCTGCAAACAATGGCAATATATTTCACACCTGGCAACCAATGCGCCCCTTTGGTTTTAGATAGTACATGGGTAGACAAGTCTAAAAAGCCTGGGACACAGGAGTCACTTGTTAGGAGGCTTAGTCTGGTCAGAATTAAGTACACACTTCCAGAGTTAACACTAAATACCTTACTGCTGGTAAATGAGCCACCATAGCCACTAAAGGGCTGTGAAAATTTGTGTCCAGGGCTTTTTAGACTCATCTTCCCATTTTGAAAACAAAGGGGCACATTGATTGCCTGATAAGAATTTTTTTCATCTCTCCTATCCTACTATAAAGGTTATTCTGCAAGTGCAACCTTTTACGGTGCTCAACATTCTCCAAATCAAAGCGAATCTTCTCTCTGCATCTTAGATCATTATTAATGCATTCTTTATATTTTCTAAAACAATTATTTAGATTCAGGCAAGTCTGGTTTCAGACCTAGGACTGAGTCTGCCTTGGTTGCCCTGAAGGATACCCTTTACAGAGACCATGCAGCTTTCAGTACCATTCACCATGATATTCTCCTAGATCACCTCTATGAAATGGGAACTGGGGTCACTGTGCTACAGTGGTTTTGGTCTTACCTATGGGACTGAGTCCAGAGAATAGCATCGAGAGATTGCTTTGGCATTGGCATTGGAACTATCTTATCTCCAATGCTATTACAAATTCATATGTAGTGTAGCCACAGGCGTTTCGGTGTGCTGCTCTGGTTTCGGTGTTCCATTGAGCCAGAAGCGGCTTAGTTATGCTGGCCAGATGACCCGGAAAAACTGTCTGCGGACAAACGCCGGCTCCCTCGGCCTGTAAAGCGAGATGAGTGCCCCAACCCCAGAGTCGTCTGCGACTGGACTTAATTGTCAGGGGTCCTTTACCTTTTTTAGTCACAGGGAACAGTAATTAGGAGTTTGGGGACAAGGTGTTAGCAAGTAGGCTGACAACACTCAACTCTATTTGAATCAGGAGAGGCCCTGCACCAGTGCCAAGACACATTGGTGGGATGGATGAGGGGAAATAAGCTGAAGTTGAATCATGGCAAAACAGAGGCTCTGTACAACAGCTATGTCCATTCCTGGACCAGGAGAGCTTGATCATAGTAGTTCAGGCACTGGTGACTTCAAATTTGGATTGCCACAATGCACTCTATGTAGGGCTTTCCTTGTGATTGACCTGGAAACTACAGTCAGTGCAGAATGCTACAGAACAATTGCTGACATAATTGAGACCCTGTCAGCATATAACATGTCTACTCAAGAGATACGCACTGGTTGATGGTTTCTTACCAGGCAAACTCAAAGTGGCCCAAATCCGGCCCAGCAATCTGCCAAGGCTCCGTCTCCCAATCCTAGCACTGTTGTGCTCAATGCTGAGGACAAGAGATAAGTGCTCTGTCCACACCCTAGAGAGCCATTTTTAAAGAATTTGTAGAGCTATTTATTCTCCTGATTTGACATTGTGGCATAGTTTGCCACTCAGTTTCTTAGCTTTTATGAATGCAACCTTCAGCAGAACCTAATGTATACAAAGTCAAATCATTCCAGTGTTAAATCACACACAGAGACAAAAACAAAAGCCAATGTAATGATCCCAAAGGTATTTTGTGGCAAATTAAAGAATTTATGAAGAGTAAAACACATTAATCAACAGTTTGATTCAAATACACCTGAAGACACATTTGCTTTTCACAACACATAAAAACCACTACAAAATTCTGAACTGTAAATAGCAAATCATATATGTAAAAAGAGTGGTACCTCTTTGAAAATATAGAAGTTAAGTAGAACCATTCCAAAGTTGTAAAAAATCAATAATGAGCGGAACTGGAAAGGCTCCCTTGTCTTCATCCATTTGGGACCAAGCCAAACAGTGAGGAGGTAAAGAGTACTTATAGCCAATGTGGGAAATGGAGACTGCATCAAGGGCCAGTCATCAACGCGTTTGTCTAGGAAAAAACAGACAAGAAATTATTGAGAACATGCTTTCTCATTTAAATTTGCAAAAAGCTTTCAGTTAAATAAGATTCATTGGTATAACTGCAGGCTCAAAGTGTTACACCTTGTATAACATTATGATAAAAATGTGCCTATATACAAGTAAGCCAAACAAGTCGTTAAAACACTTTCTGTTTCTATTACCAGTTGTAAAGTAAATTACATTCTTTAAAGTTCCAGCTGGATAACATCAGCCTTGTGCTTCCCACAGTCAAAATAAACAGTAAGAATACTTGATATTTAGAATCAGTGCTAGTCAGCGTAAAGTATATTTTCACAACATGGGTCACACACATGGTAGGAAGCAAGAGTGTGCCTTCCTTCTTCACCCACAGATCCCTCCTCTGAAATCCTTGGCTGCTCACAGGGTAGTGGTGGGCAGTTACCTTTCACATCTTATTTCTTAACTTTGATTCTGCTGATAGTTGTTTTTTAATATAGCTGTGGTATCTGTAGCCTTTTAAAAATGTTTTATCAGTACAGTATCTGTAAGAACATTTAAATGAGACGTAGGTGTATAAAATCCAATATGTCAATCCACCACATGATTGAGGCCCTTGCACATTAGAATTTATGCATGTTGCTCCTGTCAAGTATGCAATCCCCTCATGGGAACTGGGACAGTCTCACTGGGGCTGTGGGGGGGGGGGAGGCGCATACTCGCTCCCCACCATGCCCCTAGGACAGATGAAGGGGCAGGCATCATTCAAACTGAATCAGCCCCAGATAGCTGAAGGCAGGCAGTGCCTTCTAAAAGTATGTACAGTCATACCTTGGTTCTCAAATGACTTAGCTACTGAACAAATTGGCTCCTGAACGCCACAAACCCGCAAGTGAGTGTTCTGGTTTGTGAACGTTTTTTGGAAGCTGAACATTCTTGAACTTAATCCATTCCGGGAGTCCGTTCGACTCCCGAAATCGTTAGCAAACCAAAACGCAGCTTCCGATTGGCTGCAGGAGCTTCCTGCGCTCAAGGGGAAGCCACGTCTTGGTTTGCTAACGGTTTCGGGAGTCGAATGGATTAAGTTCAAGAACCAAGGTACCACTGTATAGTAACTCTAGAGATATCTCAGTTGTGAACTAATAGCTGTTTCTTATCTGATTGCCATATATATATGTGTGTGTGTTTATTTTATGAAAAACAAGCAAACATAAACACCAAATACCCTAGCTGTCTGCAGTACAAGCAGCGCTTTTTTCCTAGAAAGTGTAACCCCTGAAAAAACAACACTGAGTACAAGTAATTGACTAATTCAAAGCACAAACGATGTGCATTGCTTTCCCCATCTCCACCCCCAACCTATGGTCCATTGGGCTTTTCATAGAAGAGAGGAATCTATGGGGAAACATGAAAAACAGCTGAAAAGAACAAACAGAAAACTGATGTGGAACAACGCTTGGGCATTGGACTTGCTATAAAAATGACAAAATTTGTTAATAACTCTGAAACTAAAAGTAAAGAAAGGGACATTCATGCTGACTGCATCCAGTAGGGATAAAGAAACAGCTGCTTTAATGAGGCAGTGCTGAGAGGTGGGGTGGGCATGGGTGGGAACCCAAGCAGCACAAAATGACATAAAATACTATTATTATTTATTAAATTTGCATACCGCCCTTCATCCAAAGATCCCAGAGCAGTTCACAGCAGGAAAATACAAAATGAGAAAACAAAATACATAATAAAATGAAAGGAAAAACAAAAGGATATCAATACACCCCACCCCACCCCCCGGGCCACAGAAATGCAAAGCAATGGAAGCAACAAGAGTATGTCTGCTCCAGCAGTCCCTTGGGGCCCGAATGAGTTAGTATTCACCTATTTCTGATATGCATCTGCTTCTGCCTTCTCAGAGTGATGCTTGAGTTAAATAGTTAAAGTTCTGTAATTGCACCTGTGTCAAGTGCAATAAAATTGATGCACTATGCAAATAAAAAATAAAAAAAAGTACAGGCATTCAGAATGCCATGGAGACCTTGCAGCGAAGCTTGGGTTTTATTTTATTTTATTGGCTTCTGCAAGCAAATAAATGAGCGCCTTTCCTTTCTTTATTTTATTTATATTAGGGATCATGGACATTTCTGACAAAAACAAAAACGGGAGCAGAAATTGCTAGTGATTGTTTATTTAGCCTGTGTCCAAAATGGAACTCAGTCCAGTGAACAACTGGCATGGTTGCTTTTAGCCTGCAAGCAATACATTATTGATCATGTTTTCTCTCCATTTGCATTGTGTTTCCTTCACACTAAAATGAATGGGGTGGAATAACGTTATGACACAGATGACATAATATTGCTATGGTGAACAATGAAACAAATAGTGCAGTTTGTGTGGAAGACGAACTGCAGCGGAACAGAGGCAGTGCTGCATGTGGGGATCTGGGGCAGAATGGAAAGCGGTGCCTTCTTACCTCCCTAATTTATATACAGTGGTACCTCGGGTTACATACGCTTCACGTTACATACGCTTCAGGTTACTCCGCTAATCTGACTCCGCTAACCCAGAAACATTACCTTGGGTTAAGAACTTTGCTTCAGGATGAGAAAAGAAATTGTGCTCCGGCAGCGCAGCAGCAGCGGGAGGCCCCATTAGCTAAAGTGGTGCTTCAGCTTAAGAACAGTTTCAGGTTAAGAACAGACCTCTGGAACGAATTAAGTACTTAACCTGAGGTACCACTGTACTTTTTTCTGTTAAGGGTTCTAAGGTGGCCTAAAATTTTTAATATTAACATATTTTAATTTTGTGTACACAAATTCAGCGATGTAAATTTATAGTGAACATGAAAGAGAGAGAGATAGGTTGCGAGTTAGAATGGTAAAATGGTCAGGAACAGGACAATTCAAGATTTCATCCAGATCTGTCTTGCAAAAGCTTGGATAGATCCATATTGAAATAAGGACTGCTAATGCACACAGAATGTGCTTTTGAACAGGCATATGTTTGTAGTACAGCAATCAAACTGAAAAGCAGTAAGACAGAGCACTGCTAACTCCTCCACTCCTTCCTCCTGTTGCAGAATAAATTGCCCCAGTGTTACCTGCCTGAGATGAGAGGAGACATTCCACTCGCCCCAGCATTAACAGGCAAGAGGCGGCAGTTGAGGGGGCAGGTGAATAGTGTTATGGCTGGAAGGCTGGTCTAGATGTTAACTTTGGTTGTTTACAGCTTGTAAAACGGGATTATGTTTAATAATAGTAATAATAGTAAAAGAGGCTGCTGAAGTAGCGAAACCAGTCTCTTTGTCAAGTGAAGGTATCCAGCCAAGTCTGTTAAGTAGGTTTGTGATTGGTTGCCACCCAGAAACTACCAGTTGAAGAAGCTTCCAGAAGGTGGACTAAGGAGGGCATGCCTTGCCCCCTACATCAGCAGTGGGTGGCATCATCAGCAAGTGTCTCACCAAGAGAACAACAGACCAGACCTGTCTTGAAATGGGCTGGGAAGAGACACAGAGGCTTGGCTTGATCTCTGCGCTGAATTCAAAGCCATGGCTTTGGAGGGCCCCCAATGGTGGAGCAAGATCTGTGGGAGCGTTAATGTAGTGGGCTTTTCCATCTGATGCTCGGCTTGAATATATATGTGTAATACAGGGTGCCCCCCCTGCACACTCTACTCACCAACCCTTTCTTCTTGCCTCAGTTTCCCTATCCACAACCACAATATCCCCCATTCGTCTGCCTTAGTTTCCCCTCAGGTCCATCTCCCTTCTCCATTTCTGTTTCCCTCTCCAAGACCACAGTATGTTCTTCATTCCTCAGCTTCTGAACCTATAAAAGAGTCACCACATCTCCCTCCAACTTCCACATACCGTCTCCCCCATCCTCAGCTTCCCGCCAAAAGGACAATGACGCATCTCCCCCTCAACCCCAAGACCACCCTCTCCCCCTGCAAAAGGACAACAAAATTTCTCCTCTCCCTTTTTCTCTTTTGTTTTTTCTTTCTCTCTCTCTCCCCTGCCAAGAAAACCTCCCTTGGTGCCAGGGAGTAAGGGAGGGAGGGAGAAGAGTCCCCTCAGCAGGTAAATGACAGCACCTCCCCTTTCCCGTTCTTCTCCTAAGGAGACCCATTTGGGCTCTGAGGTGAATTCCTGCAAGTCAGATTCCAAGTTTTGGCTCAGTTCATGTGCCTCATGTGCCCCCTAGCAGTAAAGACTGTCATTACAGCATGATACAAATATGTAAAAAAAGGTGAAGGTACCCCTGACCGTTAGGTCCAGTTGCGGACGACTCTGGGGTTGCGTGCTCATCTTGCTCTATAGGCCGAGGGAGCTGGTGTTTGTCTGCAGACAGCTTCCGGATCACGTGGCCAGCATGACTAAGCCGATTCTGGCGAACCAGAGCAGCGCATGGAAACGCCGTCTACCTTCCCACCGGATTGGTACCTATTTATCTACTTGCACTTGACGTGCTTTCGAACTGCTAGATGGGCAGGAGCTGGGACCAAACAATGGGTGCTCACCCCGTCACGGGGATTCGAACCGCTGACCTTCTGATCAGCAAGCCCTAGGCTCTGTGGTTTAGACCACAGCACCACCCGTGTCCCCTTGATACAAATATGTAGAAATAAATAAAAACATATTGCACAAAGACACCACCATCTTCAGAGACCATCATTCCAAGGAAACCAAACCTGAGGTGTGTGCTGCCTCCCATGAATCTGCCACTGCCAGGGATTGGGGTATATGCAACAATACTTTTTGCCAGACCACAGGAGAGGAGGTGCCTTGCTAGACTGCTCCATGTGCTGCCTCTGCTACCTCCTTCCACTTCCTACTGCTGAGCAGGACAACCTCCTCCTGCCTCAGACAAGTGTCTGCAGGGCTCTTCAGTCCCCTACATGAGTAAAGAGAGGAAAATGTGGCTGTGGCCAAGAGGTCCCACAGTGTCTGAAGCATAGCAGTGTTTGATTCAAAGCTATGCTACTGACACACAAACATATTCTTTTTTTTTTAAAGAGAGGACAATGTGCATTCACAGTTCACAGTGCTGTACTGTGCTCCTCTTTTTGAATGCCTATCTCTCTTGTCCCATTAGACAAGGTTGAAGCTCTTTGCACACAAAGATCATAACGTGAAGTGCAAAGAGCAACAGATGGCTCACCCTTCTCCTCACACAAACAGACTTGGGAGATTCCTTAACAAATTTCTGATTTTCAAGCCCTTGTCAGACCAGTTAAGCTTAAGTGTGGGGATATTTAGACATGCAAGACCAAGAGGCAACACCCAGCAAAGTGTACAAATTCCAAGTTAATTCCAAGTTTTAAATACGACTGTCGGGGGCGGACAGGCGGACGAAGAAACAAAACAAAGATAAATTAATATTCAGTGGATATAAAGCTTTGAAAAACCCACATTACAAGGAAGTGTTCCATCATTATCCCAGACAATGAGCCAAAATGACTTAAGAAGAACCAGAAACTTACAAATTGTTCTGGTCCAGCAGAACCACAGCTGTAAAAATGATAGCACTACATAATTTCATATTTCTGTTCCATATCATATCAGCTACTATATCCAACACCTTTTAAAAGTTTGATTGCAATGATTATATCTAGCATAGAAACATATCAAGACTTTTAAAAAAAGCTATTTTAAATTATGTTTATTACAGTGGTACCTCAGGTTACATACGCTTCAGGTTACAGACTCTGTTAACGCAGAAATAGTGCTTCAGGTTAAGAACTTCGCTTCAGGATGAGAACAGAAATCATGCTCTGGTGGCGTGGCGGCAGCAGGAGGCCCCATTAGCTAAAGTGGTGCTTCAGGTTAAGAACAGTTTCAGGTTAAGAACAGACCTCCGGAACAAATTAAGTACTTAACCCGAGGTACCACTGTATATGTGAAAAAGCAATAAAACACTTTATAGATATAAAAAAAGAGAATTTGAAGATTTTGGGGATTCTACCTTATGCCTATGAATTGGATCACTTAATACAAAACCCTAAACATTCTCTGGTGCAAATGGAACAAAATAACTATGAAGGACCATTGGTAAGTGAATACCACCCAAAAGACTGAAAAATATAGGATTGGTATCACTAGGGATGTCAGAGCATTCTGACAAAAAATGGGGGGGGGGATTGAAAAAATGGCTGCAGTTTGCATGTTCATCTGTGGTCACACACATTCTTGTGGATTTTTGAAATGGTATGTGATGAATAACTATTTAAATTTTGTTTTGGCATTTCCTTTTTATTGAAATGAATGTAAATTACACAAAAGTTTACGTAAATTATGAAACTTACGTTAAATAGCAAACAACGAGATGAACAACCTAGTAGTTGGAAGAAACAAACTGTAGTGGAATAGAAAAAATGCTGACTTTGACAAATACAGGTCAGAATGGGAAACTGCTGCTTTCTTGCATCCCCAGTAGTGAATTATCTCATAGAATCCACTCTTAGAAATCATAGAACAAATGTTATCACCCATTTTCCTCTTTCAGTACAAGTTTAAAACATCCCTCCCATGAGGAAATGAACTGAAAAATCCTATTTACATTCTGGAGGGGGGAGAAGCAGATCCCAGATATAATCTACAGTGGTACCTCAGGTTACAGACACTTCAGGTTACAGAAGCATCAGGTTACAGACTCCGCAAACCCAGAAATAGTACCTCGGGTTAAGAACTTTGCTTCAGGATGAGAACAGAAATCGCGTGGCGGCAGTGGGAGGCCCTATTAGCTAAAGTGGTGCTTCAGGTTAAGAACAGTTTCAGGTTAAGAACGGACCTCCAGAACGAATTAAGTTCTTAACCCGAGGTACCACTGTATTAGGAATTAAGGTAAAAGTCTAGGTCCTTAGATGCTGGTATTTAATTCCATTGGGGATGCACTTAGTAGACCACTTTATTTCACAAAAGAGCCAATTGCAGGAGTTTGGGGGACACGTGGAGAGAGGAGAGCCGGGGAAGCCTCACTGTGCAAGCAGAAGTCCTTGTACAGGCTTCCCTTGATGGGACTCATCAAATCCCACCCTACGTGTATAGCTGCTCCATCTGCTTTTGGCCCTACCTTTGCTATTGTGATGTGCCCCCAGAGGATTGTCCAAGACTAAATGTGCCCCTCAGTCCAGTAAAGGGTTAGCCATCCTTGACAAAGACTGACAAATTTATGGCAGTACAGGATAAACTGTAGAGAAACATTGAAACAACAGAGGCAAAAGGCTATAGTGAGAACTTTGAGAAACCTGCCAATACTTTTCCAAATGTATAACACCCTTCCCCCCTTTTTTGCTTTGTTTCTTGCAATAGAACTTTTTTTCTAAATTTATTGGCTGTTATCTTGCATCACTTTTAGTTTTAGAGAGTAAATTGAGTAGATTCCTGCCCTGTTTTATATTAATATTCAAATTTTTGTTGTTGCAATCATAGTGCTGTTAACTCTGCGCTTGTAAGAAATGTATCACAAAAATCTTATCAAGAGGTACTGTATGTATTGTGCATGGCCAGTCTCTAAGAAAAAGATAAGCTTGATCAGTAACAGAAAATCCCCTCCTTGGGTGTGGTTCGCCATAAAACTCTGTAAGAACTAACTGGAAACTATGTAGCAAGTCCTAGTTGCGATTGCTGCTTTATGTTATTAAGGCAGATCTGTTGCAAGGTTTCCTCATAAAATAAGCAACCTTCCCTGTGGGATACATTGCAGATACTTTCTACTGAGACCATTGCTGCTAGGCTAAGCACATTCCTCTACCATTCTTCTGAGTCCTGTTCTCGGCATGGCTGCAACCTCTCCACAGGAACATCACAAACTGTTTTCATTATTTAAATCAGTCCTAAGGATCCTGAAGTGAGGTTCAACCAACCACCTCCTTTACTGTGGCTCAAAGTCTTTCTGCTTTATTCCTTTTCTCTCCAGAGGCAGATAAATACAGTGGTACCTTGGGTTACATACGCTTCAGGTTACACACTCCGCTAACCCAGAAACAGTGCTTCAGGTTAAGAACTTTGCTTCAGGATAAGGACAGAAATCGGGCTCCGGTGGCGCAGCGGCAGCAGGAGGTCCCATTAGCTAAAGTGGTGCTTCAAGTTAAGCACAGTTTCAGGTTAAGAACGGACCTCCGGAACGAATTAAGTACTTAACCCGAGGTACCACTGTATAGGCTTCACTGCCTGTTGGAGCACCGCCTTGTGGCCTTGCCTCATTCTCTCTTCATACATAAAAATTCCCCCCTTTTTTTGATCCCATGATGGACGAAAGGTAAGATCTCCTTTGCTTATTCACAACAGGTAGGCGCCCTTACTATATCAACAAAATATATCAAAAATATAAACACATATTTTTGCTTAGGCAAGCCTATCCGGACACATGGAATGCTGACATGTGCCTTAATCTCTTCTTAGTTTTACTGTTGATTTTAACTATCTTTTGAATGTTTTCAAATATCTGTTGTTAGCTGTTTTTACTGATAATTTTAAGGTTTTACTTTTTTCTGGAAACCACTCAGAGGTTCTTTACAATCAAGCAGTATATAAATTTTGTTAAATAAAAACAAACAAAAAACAACTAGAAAAAATAAGTTTCGAGAAGAAATGAGAGCTCGATGTGCAGTCTTAGTAGTATAAGTCCTTTAGACTGCATACGGCAGCAAAAAGCCATAAGAAATAGCAGAGAATAATTGGGGAGAAGGATGGTGAAAAATGGCAGTCCCTATGGAAGTGCAACCCAATATATGTTTACTCAGAAGCAGGTTCCATTTTATTTCCCAAGTGGGACATAACCCCATATAAGCATTTTAAGACTAAAGTCTTAAAGGTCAGTTTCACCTTTGATACCAAATGCCTATTTTTTGTTTAGCACTTTGTAAAAGATTAACCATAAATGCCATCCAAAATGGGTGACAAAATGTCCCTGGGTTGGAAAGGAGTGGTGATGGGTTAATCTGCCTGATGTATCACTGAATACAACAAAAACGAGACTCTAAAGGTGCTTCAAGGCAGGTATTTATTGTGGGGCAGGTGTTCCTTATGTATGCAAATTCATTGCAGCAGCCACATGACATCATCCGCATTAAAACACCAGCCCATATTCAATCCTACCCCATTTAATCAGGATTTCCCCTTTCCCAGGAAAATCTGACATGCTGCAACAACACATTTTTTTAATATCTCAATGACCTGCAATATAAAGCCCCTATTTGAAAGCACCCTAAGAAAGGACTTAGGGATGGTGTTATGAATTATCTATCTATCTATACAGGTGTTATGTTATTGTTCCTTTCTTTTCCTTTTCAAGACAGATTTTCCACAATCTCACAAAAGTCAGAAGAAGCGCAGTGAAAAACACAGGAGGACAACATCTTATGGATGCCCCATAAAACAAGAATGAACAAATCCCGTGTTCAGATACATGACGATGCCTTACAGCCACATACAGATTTCAGTTTTGCTTCCACAAGGTGTCATGTGAGCGTATCAAGTCAACACTGAAACTAAACAATGCCTCCCTTTCGCCTACTATTGTGATAATCTGTTTTATTTCCATCACACAGATTAGGGATGCAACAGATTAAATTGGAGAAACTGACAATAGTCTAAATGTCTGGGTCTGAGCCCTTGTATCACACAGGACTGCTATTGCACCTTCCTAGGCATGATGCTTATTAATGGCGACCTTTGCTTCACCCCTGCCTAGTATCCTCTAGCAGATCATGTCACTGCATCATAGGAAAAAGTCCTATTAATGTAAAATTTCACATTTTTTCCAAGTCTTCAATTGGTGTTAAAAGAACCTAGTTGTCTTCCCTCCCAAAAGGGCAAGGAAAGACCCCCATTTATGGGTCTCTATTTTAGTTCATATTTTGATCTTAAAAGTGTCCAATGAAGAATAATATGTTCTGAAAGGGCCTTAGGATAGTTTGCATAAAATTTAGTAAGTTAGAGTACAATCCTAACAATGTCTATACAGTGTCCTGAATTCAATGGACTCACTCCCAGGTAAATGGGGTTGGATTGCAGCTTTACTTATTTTTACAGTGGCATTTTTTAAAAAAAATGCTACCTAAAAGTGTTAACACTACAAAAAGGGAAGCACCGAACTACATACAGTGAGATATATATTAAGCAATTTCTATGCATGAGAAAAGAAAGGAGTGGTTATGAATGCTGCTGCAGCCACTGAAAATGAGTTGAGAGTTCCTTTATTAACAAAAAATAGTCCTGTACATATTTACTAAGAAGTAAAGCCTACTCTGTACAATAAGGCTTACTCTCAGGAAAATGTGTACAGGATTGTAGACTTCTGACATATAATTGTCTTAATTTTTATGTAGCCTTTGAGGGTTCAAATATATACTTACATGCAAAGTACCTAAGAAATGTCAACAATGTTTCTTTCTTATAAAGCACCTTTGAAAGGGGTGAATTCAAGTGAGAAATCAGGAGAGGAGGGGGTTGCAAATGAGGGTGCCCACATTTGGTGGACTGCAATATGGAAGCTTTATTTAAGGCACAAATTGTTTCCAGCTTTTCTTACAACTCTTACAAGTCATACAAGTACAATTGTAAATTAGCTGATAATTGTTTTTCCTAATCATATGTTCTATAACAAAACAGATTTGGGAAAAACACTGCATTTTCATTTGTGGGTTGAAACACATGAGCAAAGTTTACAAAAAGCTATTGTGTTATGTGCATCTGTCTCTTTGTTTCATGTCTTGCCAGCCCAGTAAATTTGTTCTTAACCTAAATTATAGGAGATAAAATCAGAATTACTCTTACATCTTTTTTTTCTGCTCTGCTGAATGGACAGAATACATGACTATAAATTTTACAAGACTGGCTGGATGACATATGAGCATTTGTAAAAGATCACACAGCTACAATATACTAATAAATTAGCAGCTTCCGATGTCAAATGCATATATTTGCTTCATTTGACAATTGCCTATGCCTTTTCCTGATTAGCACTGACGGAGTGACCGAGTGGTTCAGTGGATTAATGCATTTGTCTTTCAAAGCCTAAGACCCAGATACTAATTTGATCACAAGCAAAATGGCTGCGTTGTTAGGAAACGGTTCAAAACAAATCACACACGTAAGCCTAGAGATACAGTATATCAGCTCTCTTTACGTTGGTAGACTATGTGTAAGTTGTATGGCTAATATACCAGCTACAATAAGTATCTTCCAGCATTAATTTTCACAATGTGTCGAAGGATGAATGGAAACTAACTCTTACAGTCAGTGTAATAATAACACATTGATAAATGTTCTATATATTTTGTATTTAATATATTAAAATTTAATTAAAATGCTTTAGGAACCCATAATCGTATTTTCAAAGCATTGTAAGTTTGGCCTGTGAGAAAACTGTATTTCACCTTCCAGTGCTCAATATAGTAAAAGTAAAAAATTAAGAAAAATTAGCACAATCAAGCCAAAATCCCACTCATCTCAGTGGGCGAGGTTTAAGTATGCATATAACTATCCAAGTTAAAATCAACAGGATATGGAAGTACTGGATCGTAAGTGTGAATTTCATCCTGAGTCTTTTTCATCTCTACTGCCATACTTAATTTGAAAAGCATTTTTTGGTGGTTGTTTTTTTTAAAAGAAAGCTGTAATAGATCTTGGTAAATGCCCCTCATATATTACATCAGCATTTTTAAAAGTTAAATATTCATACAAAAAGCAAATTAATTCCTTAGCTACAAACCGCTACATGTTAATTCATCTGGGAAGCCTTACTAAGTATTAATAGCGATGGCTGCTATTTTCAGAGCAAAGGCACTTACAGGGCCAATCTAGCACATGCCTCCGTCCAATCAGCACGGCTCCTTATGATGTCTGCAATTGCATTACTAAGAGGGAAACATTCACTGTGAATAAATCTTTATAGCCCTTCCAGGATGCACTTTTCTCTGTAACGGCTTTTCAAAAAATCTTTGAGTATCCATTAGAACAATTTTAAATAACTTATCAGTCCAAAGTACATTCTGACTGATATTACTGAAACATCTGATCTTCTTGTTATGATAGTGAATAAAGAGTGTTTTGCGGATATTCTTCTGTCACTCTCCATTGGTTCTGTTATCTCACTGAGAGTCTATCATTAATTTTTAAAATGACAAAGAAATCCAGAGGATTCGTGTTTGTTTGTTTGTTTGTTTGTTTGTTCATATATATTTAAAGACTCACACAAGCATTTGTATTTGACAGCAGCAAAACATTTCACAAGGCTCCAGCTAGCATCCTGTAAGTAACTGGGCATACAACTGGGCATACAATGTTTATAAGAATATGTTCTTAAACTTCCAAATAAATGGGCATGGCGCTATATTGAAGAACATGGGTGATGCTTCACTACAGATTTTCAACTCCTCTTAAATCAAATAACTTATTGTAGAAAGCATGCCTGTCATAAAAAATTGTAGAACTGCCTGTCAATCAAATGCAACGCAGATGCTCATCACTGCACCTAATTTAACAATATTCTGTTGGGACATTCCCCTACCAGAATCAATTTTAGTACTACAATTCCAGCATACATATTTACTGAAAATGACTTTTGAACTTATTCAGTTTCTTTTCCTTTAGATACCAGTGTGCTGGTATCTAAAGGAAGTTTAATCTGAAGGGAGTTTAATCTGAAGGGTCACCATAAGGACTGGGGACCATGCTAAATGGTGTGGGCTGTGGTGGTGGGCTGAGGGAAAAGGGAAGTTTGTGAAAAAAATGGACAAAAGGGCCTTCTCTAAGAAAGAGGACACATGAAGCTGCTGAGGAGAGCAGGAAAGTCATCTTCTGCTAGGAATGCTCAGGAATTTTGTTTGGTCTGCATTTCAAAGTAATTATTTGATCTGCACCTCCTGGATTAATGTGCAGATTGGAATACAGTTATCTGTCATGGACTGGCTGGATGCAGAGGAGCGATAGGAGGAACGCCCAGGGGGAGAAGGCTCAGAGCCCAGGGAGTGGTGGTAGGACAACAATGAGTGGTCAGAGGGAGATGAGGGAGCAGACTGGGAGGAGGAGGTGTCGGAAGCTGAAGAGAGAGCAAGGTTTAGTGAGCAGGAAGAGGTTGTGGCACAGAGCAGTCCAGAATCAGAGGCAGAAGTGGAGGCTGGAGAAGTGGAGAGGGGCCCAAGAGGCAGAGATTAGGCAGGCTGCTGAAGAATCCAGGGGGTCTCCGTCTCCTGCTGTGGCCAGTTTCCCTTCCCCTGGTTTCCCAGAACCCACAAAGGTATGAAGAGAGCAAAGCAGAGACTGACAAGAAGTCAGAGTCTCAGATTGCTTGGGAAGGACCCAGGAGAACAGGAGCTTAGATTGCTGTGGGAAGGTGGAAACCTTCTGTGCTCACAACTGCTTCATTGGGGTAAGATCTTCTGGAAAGAGTTGCTGTGCTCACTAGGCCTGAGCTGTTTTGTTTCTTTGAATAAAAAATTAACTTCACTGACACCTTGTGAGTTATTGCTGACTTGCTTCTGACACCCACCCTGACATTATCCTTCAGATTTGGTACTTCTTAACTCAAAGAAATCCCAAAATGTGTATTTTAATATTCAATATGTTTCATAATGTATACACCAGGGTTTCCCAAACTTTGGTTTCCAACTCTTTTTGGACTACAGTTCCCATCATCCCTCACCACTGGTCCTGCTAGCTAGGGGTGATGGGAGTTGTAGTCCAACAACAGCTGTAGACCCAAGTTTGGAAAACCCTGGTGTACAGTAAGAGAAAATACATTTAGAATGGCATAGTTTGTTAGAAAATGTGTTCCAATTTATGTATTTAAACTACCAATTTCTGTGCCAAGCTTTAAAAATAAAGTTGCAGATTAATGTGGAAGTGGAACAAAACAGACCTATAAATGAACACATTCAAAACTGGCATGGATAGGAAATGGTGATCAATCCATTTCTAGCTTCCATCCACCCCCTTCTGCAGGTGCATTCAACATTATCTTCATCTGGCATAAGCATGTATATGTCTCTGCACATGTATGTACACACACTTTTGGTTTGGCATTAGAGGGTGAGCCCAGCCTTCCTTCCAACTCACACTATGCTCCTCCCCATTCCTTCTCTGGCACAACAGCAAGGAGACTGGAAGCTTCTGCTTCTGTTGTAGTGTGTCATTCAAACCATAAACTGTGGTTAATCTTAGCTATGACTAGTGAAAACAAGCCAGCTCCAAGTGAAGCACAACGAACATTCAAAACAACACTCACTGGCAAAATCAACAGCTTCCTACCTTTAATGTACCAAGTTAACAATTGTATTGGAACAACAACCACAACAACCAAAATGTGGTTCCAACTAAATCCTGAGCAAACACAGTCAAAATGAAACCCACTACCACAAATGTGGTCATAAAGTTGAATACAGATATCTGCCCTTTAATTATGGTGACATTCCGGGAATAACTCTGCCTTAATGAACTTGAGGCCAATTGGAGGAAAATTCCAGCCACAAGGCTTCTGATGCCACCACAAACCTGGATATGGTAACTACTGAATGCAGGATTCCTACAAATGCAGTTTCAGCAAGACCCTACTTAAGTTTGACACACCGGGAGAATGAAAACTGCTGCTACAATTTAAGGCACTCTCTCCAAACATTTGCTCGCAGAATGTGAAAAACAATAGAAAAATTAATACTATTGCTGTGGATACTTCCCCCTCCATAGTTCTGCCACTGTAGAATTAGGGGGCGGGGCCACTAAAACTCAAAATGCATCATTTCAGAAATACCTGGTAGTAATGGCAATAATGGAAATGCAAAGGATAATATAGGGAAAGCATATTAGTTCTAGCTGAAAATATAATGAATATTTATTGCAAAAGCAATTAAATAAAAATTGTCAAGGACTGGCAGGACTCTGACAAGTGCATGACAGAGGTGGGGGAGCTGGAGGTGGACCCAGGAGAGGGGCTAGTGATTTATGGGGCTTGGTGCCAGCTGTGAAACAGGATACAGGGTGGGGGGAAGGATCCATGCAGTCAAAGGTGGAGGTGGGCCACAGGATGGGTCACAAGCAGAGGAAGAGGTGAGGGGTGGGCCAGTCGAATTGTCACCATCCCTTTCCCCAATATCTCCTAAAACCAGAAGGGGCTTGAAGAGGGAATAAAAGCAATGACTTATATGCAGGAGAAATTATTGGGCGGTATTCAACACTAGTCCTCCTCTAAGTAAACCTGCTGAAGTTAACGGGGATGATTAACCTAGGTTAATTGATGTCAATAGGTCTACTCTGAGTAGGACTTAGTTGACTACTGCTCTTTATTATATTAAGGAATCTAGATTTAGTTTCCGTAAAATAATTTAAGCTGCAAATACATTTTGTGGCATTTAAGAGATACTAGTGTCATTAAGAGATGCCTGTGTCATTAACTTGGACTCCTGCAGCAATAGCACCTCTGAACTGCAAACATTCTGATTTCCTTACGTAGGCTAGGAGGGAGGACCTTCTGTTTTTTATTTTACTTCAGTTCCTTCAGTAATCATATACATGCTGTCAACTTGACCACACAACTGTTGCAATGGTCAGAGTAGGATTTTTGCAGGCACAGTAACTTGAAGGGGAGTTCTCCCTGCATTTCATTTTCAATTTGTATACCACCACCTTTCTACATCACTGTATTTAAGGCAGTTTAGAGACCGCAGAAATGGCAAAATGTGCAACAGCAAAAATCATGCTGCCATCCTATCAATCCAAAAGACAACAACAATAGGAAAACAAATTAGCAAAAGGCAAGAATCCAATTCACATGTGGCATTACAAGATAATGAAAATAATAATAAAACAAACAATAGAAACTAAAGAATCACCATCAATTAAAACAAGTTAAATCATTATAAACAACTAAGACAAACATCTGGAAAAATGCAATGCAGTGTGGCTGACCCTGTTCTGTGGAACAACATCCTGTTGAACTGGTTAATTCAACAATACATGCTGTAGATTAAATCCTAGAAATTTTGCCAAGCTATGCTTCTCAAAACATATGAAAAACACAACACAGCATTTGTCTGTCACTGAGATGAAAGGCAGTAGTGAATTGTCAAACACACAAAAATCACATGCTATATCACAAACATGCATGTTACAGTCCTATGGTTTAAACTACATCAATCAAATCTTCAGATATCTTAAGGGCTGTCACATGGAAAAGGTAGCATGCTTGTTTTCTCCTGCTCTTGAGGGTAGGACTCGAGGCAATGGCTTCAAGTTACAAGAAAGGAGTTTCCAACCAACATTCAGAAAACTTTCTGACAATAAGAGCTCTTTGGCAGTGGAACAGGCTTCCACGAGAGGTGGTGGACTCTCATTCCTTGGAGGTTTTTAAGCAGAGGTTGGATGGCCATCTGTCATGGATGCTTTAGCTGAAATTCCTGCATTGCAGGGGGTTGGACTAGATGACCCTTGGGTCCCTTCCAACTCTAAGATTCTATGAAACCATTCAGTTACCTTTCCTTGTTTACAGTAGCAATCCGCTGCATGCTGATGCATACGAGCATCACCTTTACCAAAGATGACTAGTGCTGCTACCTCTGATTTGTTTATTCACCATATTTGTATTGCATTTCTCTTCCATAAAGCTCAGATAACCCAAAAGAGAAATTGTATTTTAAGTTCACAATAACCCATGTGACAAAAGCAAAGCTAAGAGATTGTGACTTGTCTAATGACCACTCTGCGAGCTTCTTGACTGGCGCTGGCTGACTGCTATTTGTCCCTTAGTAGGACAATAGGAAGCTGCCTTATACTTGGTCCATCTAGCTCTACCCTTGGTTCGTCTAGCTCAGAACTGCTGAAACTGATGGACAGCGGCTCTCCAGGACTTCATAGAGGGATCTCTTCCTTGGGATGTTCCATATGCAAAGCTGATGCTTAAGCACTGAGCTACATTCCTTCCCCTGTGTTCCACTATACACACACAATGGGGTGTTGATTTGGAATTTCCACTCTTTAGTCTTACTCTTGCAAAGATGATCCACATATGGAGGAGCCTATTATTAAAACACTATCCTTGCTAGACTACGGCAACAAAGTAAGGATACCAGCAACTTGAAATGAATGTGAGTTGTACAAAAGAGCAATTGTACAAAACCTACTGGTGTCCTAGGCATTGTTACATTAAAAGTTTCTGTCTTTCTGAAGCTTCCATGCATTTCAATAGAAATGTTACACAGAAGAAACTCCCAGGTAAACTACAATCATAATATCCAGCCAAGGGTGGCATTAGAAACACCCACATACCTCCTGCCAAGTGTGCTTAAAAATCTAATTGTGACCATTTGATTGCTAGGCAAAGGTAATTTCCACAGATTGAGCTATTTCTTTATCCACTGGTAATGCTGTAGCCAAACAGCCCACAAAATACATAGAATATGGATGCTTTAGTTAGGATTCCTGCATTGCAGGGGGTTGGACAACATATCACTCGGGGTCCCTTCAAACTCTACGATTCTATGATAATACAAAATATATAAGCCTTCTGTATTAAAATGGGGTTGATGTTATAAGAATGAGGCTTTAACTTGTCATATACATAAGAACATATCCACCATGACTGCCAATTTGTTTCTGGGTCCCAATCCAAGGTGCTTATACTGGCATTTAAACCCCTAACCAAGCTAGTCCTCAAATATCCTTCCCTACAGACTCTCTAGGATCAGATCAGCAAAGGGTGGTGACTTGGTAGTTTCACTGCACTCAGAAGTTCATGGTGGTGGTGGCGGCCCAGAAGAGGGCATTCTCTGTGGCAGTAACAAGTGGATACCCCTGAAATAGCATGTTTGGGAGGTGAGGAGAAGGCAGAGCTGGCACAGCACAGAATCCACCGCAACCCGAGACAGCCTGCTAACATCATGTGATTGCAACAGCTCTGTCTCCTCTCCACCCCTTTGTGTGGTGGCAATATAGTGTTTGTCCATTGGGGCAGGTGCACTGGGCTGCTCAGCAGCTAGACTCCCCTGGTGGTTCAGGCCAATGAAATCAGGCAAAGTTGGGCAGAGGGACACATTTGCCTCATCCAAATCAGGGGTCTGGATCACTCTTCCCAATCTTACCTGAAACTGCTATGGGGAGAATGTTATTTGTTGTTTCTTGTTATCTGAATGGTAAAAATTTGCTTAGGATCAATGCAAGCTGTCTGTCCACTTGGTCTTAGATATAACTTTGGTAAGCACAGGGTGGGGAGGGAGTTTATAGTGAAGTCTGAAGCACCTCAAAATGCCTCTGGCAAGTAAAAGAACATGATCCTACGCACACTTACTTAAAAGTAAACTCCAGTGATCAGTAAGGGACTTCTGCGTAAAAAGGCCCAATAAACTTGAAATCTAATGGATCATTTTGTGTAGTGTAACACCACCAGAATTTGTTTTTTAACGTTCTGTGTGGCACCTTCACTAATAACTTCTATGAACAGAGGAAAGGGCGGTCACTATTTCTTCTGTCAGCACACTCCCTAGGCTAGGTCACGTGTGAAAATGTATTGCCACAGGGCAAGAAAATTGCAAAGCACAATAAACTGTATCTCAGGATTAGATTTCCTGGAAAAATATATAACTGAATAATACTTCTTTAATCACCTGCAGACCTGTAGTCCTTTGAAGTGTGCACTGAGTTTCTGATGAGAAACATCTCTCCACCCCATTCCTATCCCAGCACTATAAGCTAGGAAGTATATTGAAATGCACAGAGATCAAACTGAAGGGATGTATGAATACTGCCTCTGCAGCAATTGCTCAAAATCATGGGTGGGGAACCTGTGGCCCTCAAAATGCTGTTGGGCTCTACTCCCATTATTCCTGATCACTGGCAATGCTGGCCAGGACTGATGAGAGTTGGAGTCCAATAATATCTGCAAGGCCACAGGTTTCTCCTCCTTGATTTTAGTAAAATGCTGAGGAGCAAAACAGTTCCATTTGTTCTGCTCATACAGCCATTAGCCTCCTGAGAGAACGTCCCTGCAAAACTAGAAGGAACATGGAGCAAAGTTACATTGGAGTCAAAATGCATAGCTATTCAATTACTCTACTGGCTGTAATATTAAATATTATGTGTTGGACCTATCTAGGTTAAGTCACGCTTAGAGTAAGCCCATCAAAATCAATGTGACTTGATATTTGTGATGAAACTTCAGCCTCAGTGATTTCAATGGCTCTATGCAAAGCACAACTGAGTTGGGATCCAAACCTATATTTTATCCCCGCAAATTACCACAATAAATGAGACTATGAGACCATGTGTTGTGGAAATAAGAACTCTGATTTACCCATCATACCCAATGAATGCTCAGTCAAAAACAATATATCAGTGGCAGATAACAAAGAAGCAGGTACAGTTCTATATCACCTTGCTTGGGCATAAGACCCAATAAACTCAGCAGACTTATTCTGAGTGAACACGTGCAGGTATTCAGTATAGCTGCCTTCCTAAACCTGGTGACCTCCAAATATTGTGGACTACAACTTCTATCATCCGTAATTGATGGCTATCAAGGCTGGGGCTAATAGGGGTTGTATCTAAAACATCTGGAGGGTACCAGGTTGGGGAAGCCTGATGTATAGGATTTTGCTGTTGAGTTCAGTTCATTGTTCTATCATAAAACAGGATCTCCCCACCCTACTGATGGTGCAATTCAGGTGTTAAACTTGAAATGTAGGAAGAGGTACAAGAGGTACCTAAAACCTAAGTTTGCATAGCAATTCTGGGGAACCTGCCAGTTGGACTGCTTTTTCAAGCATCCCAGTTTATCTTTCTATCTGGAATAGGTCAGATTATCACTGAGACTAGAACAATCCCCTTGGTGAACTGAAACTATAAAAGGGATTTATTTGTAATCTGTAAACATGAGGTTTTCTCTTTACTTGGCAACCCTTCACACACAAGCCCAAATCTGCTTCTGAGCATCAAGGGACGCTGAGCATCAAGATGCTGAGCATCTGATGTTGTGCAAAGCTATTCATACTGTACACACCTGGAAGTGCTCTCCCGTTTGATCACTGCACTCAGATTTGCACATTGATCTCTTGCCCATATGGACCACCCCACAGATTTCAATGAAGGCACCTGATCCATACACAGAAGGTATGCATGTGTGGATTTGGTCCTTCCAATGAAATGAATGGAAAATGTTCTGGGGAGAGTTCTGTGTGCCCATTAACTTGTAGTTTGAGTTTATGGTTTTAGAAGTTCACTTCTCCCAGTAATATTATTAACTTATGATCATGCTCAAGTGCTTTGAAGTGAAGAGTCTACAGGTTAAAAACAAAAACAAAAAACAAGAGGCAAAAAATATTCTTGGACAAGGGTTCTCCTTAGCTGGAATAATGGCCGAGAATTCTTAGATTTTCTTCCACCACTACTTTTCATATTGCTTAATAACTGGGTGCATATATATTTACTATAAAGCTATGTTCATTGAATATATTGGGTCATTTTACCACTTATTCAGAACTGCTAGTCAGAAATCTGCCTTTTCAGGACTAATGCCTTTTTTAAAATAAAGTGATCACATGGAACTAAAGCCATAAAGATGCTGTATAACATTGATAATAATAACTTGGTATATATCAGTATTACTAATAATCTTTCAGAAGACTTCAGATTTATATTAACCTCCTAGTCAAGCAATAGCTGCTCAATTTCTAATTTATAAACACACACACACACACACACACACACACACACACACACAATTTCACCCAACATTCTTTCTTATCTCTTACATCCTGCAGGTTCTCAACTTATAGAAAGCAAGAAATTAGAAACACAGCGAACAATTTTTGAACATTAAAGCAGCTAATTCACATTCCGCTTTACCATGATGCAATTTCTGAGCAGTCAACTTGTGACAGAAATTCATGCTATACTCTGTGATTGATGAAATCTCTTCCAGAAAGCAACTTCCAGAAAATTATCACATTGTATGAGTGATACAGTTGCATGAGTTGGCCTTGAGGGACCTAATTAGAGTTGCGAAAGAACAATAAAAAATATTTAGGAATCTGATTTTAGAAATATGAGAATGCTGAGAACAATGAAGGGAAACTGTGTAGGTGTCTGAGGGGAAAAAAATTATTCATTCCTTGTGCAATGTTGCTGTGTAGTGATGTTTCCAACATGGTGAAATGTCTTATTCATTGAGCAATATTAACACATGGCAAAAGCCTTTACAATATGACTGTTGGGCAAGGCCACAGCATGGTATAATTTCAAGATGATGTGGATTGAGAAATGATGCTGCGGAGCAACAGATGATCTGATTCATCTGTTGAGTAGCATCACTGCTATTATCAAGGAGCTCTACAATCTGATAGACAAACCCACATTTTTGAAACAACAAACACCAGTATTTGCATGCATCAGGGATTAGTATTCAGGAAATATTACAACAAGCATGAGAATGTGGCCAGGAAAATATGGAGTAAAGAGTAAAGGAGTGCCCATCCTATTGAAAGCATCCTCCAACACCTCAAGCTTTCCTGACTCTCTCAGTAGCATAGACAGTGACACAGAGGTTACGCAGAGTTATAGCATATAATCATATCACAGAATTGTAGAGTTGGAAGGGACTACAAGGGTTATCTAGTCCAACCCCCTGCAATGCAGGAATCCTTCGCCCATTAGGGGGCTTCAACGCATGACCCTGAGATTAAGAGTCTCATGCTCTACCAACTGAGCCAAAATTTGCTCCATCCTTGTTCTAAAATAAAGCTTCGGAAAAGGAAGGCAACAGTTAACACTGGGTGGTAGTTAAATGCATGCTGGAAGCCCACAGATCAATGTTGTCTTCAGCCATTAAGGATGGGGTGGGGCCATTAGCCACCCAGATGTTGGGACTCCAACTCCCATCAGTCCCAGCAGCATGGCCAGTAGTCAGGGATGATGGGAACTGATGTCCAAAAACATCTGGAGGAGCACAAGCTACCCACCCCTGTAGTAAATAAATAGCTATACTGTTATAAATTTAAAAACGTTGGCGCTGTATAACCAAATGATCCAGCACATTGCACTGTAATAATGTTACTTGGTGAAAGAGAAATCAATCTGCCCTAGCAGTGCCGCTACAGAACTGCATTTATTTCAAACAGCGTTGGGGTGTGGCTTCTTCAAGAACCAATTAAATGAATGGAAAGATGCAGCCGCAGTGCTTGGAGGACTCCTCCTACAGTACTGTGACATCAGGATACAAAAATAATTTTGATTCTAAAAAACTGCATGCGCCGATAAGGGCTGCAAGATCACACTCTCAGAGCTTGCTTACAAGTAATTTTGACGGATTTGGAGGCCAGTATGTTTAGGAAAGCAGCTGAAATCCCATATAGTTCCTCACCCACAGCTACACTATGTCCCCACAATCTCATGGTTCTCCAAAGAGCCCAAAAATGAATAAACTAAAATGTCCTACTTTAACATTTTTAACTGGGGTGTGTGTTCTTTTGTCACAGAGGCATCTCAGATTATGCCATACAATTGACACCTATGTATGGCAATCTAAAACAGTTGACTAAGCAAGATAAGTTAGGCACTATTTTCTCAGCAGTTTAAAAGATAATTAGTATTCCCTCAAAAAGAGGAAGACAGCGGAGTGAGTCCATATCATAGCATTCTGGTTTGCTGCCAAATTCTTCCACACTAATAGTCTACCTTCTTCTATAAGAGCTGATATTTTGGCTGTTGCTGATTTGTGCAATGTAAACTCTAGCAATTCTGAGGCAAAGTAGTTATTAATTAGGACCATAAAACTACTTTGCTATTAAAACCTTGTATTTAAAAGTTTCTTAGAGATGACTAGTGCAGCAGTTTGCTTTTATGTTAAATGAGAATCATATAAAAGCACTGTAGGAATGAAAATGGGTCATTGAAAACATACAACTACAGCATTTTACTCAATCTTTTACATTTTGGGGAAATGCAGATGTTGGTTAATGTATCTGAAGTATGTCTGAAAGTGAGATCAGGAGATGAAGTGCAATAATGCAGATCAAGCAAGAATGTGCTGTCTCAACTGAAAACGTAAGATTAATTTACAATCCAACAGATGGCAGAAAGAGATGGGAATAGGAATGAAGGCAGCTCATGCAATAATGAGTTACTGGGATCTATAACCAGGGCCACTTGGATTCCATAGCAGTGAAATCCATCATAGGTTCATTGTAGAGCCATCTTGGCATTCAATAAGTACCTGACAATCTTTACAGCTGTGCAGAAGTGATACTTAAGAGTAAAACGTGTACATAAAAGACAGTCCTGCCTTCTTTAAGATAAATGCAGTCATACACATTCATTAAGTGCATCTCTGCCCTTTAATGAGTATGTATTAAAAAATATTGTTTAGTGTGTTGTTCAGGTATGCCCTTCATAAGCCAGAATTGTATGTACAAATACTGACAAATACTGCCCAACATCCTTGCCACTGCATATGTGAAGCCACTCAAAGACTGCAATCCTATGCCCATTTACCTGGGAGTAAATCTCACTGACCTAAGTGGGACTGACTTCTAAGCAAACATGCACAGGATTGCACAGTACATTTCTGACTCTTTGGCCTTGTTCCAAATTCCAGCTGTAGCTATTTTATTACTGATCCTACTTGATGGATATTGATCTATCCAGCATCAATTCTGCAATAACATCTCATCTTGAAAACGGGGAAGGGAAGGGAAGGGGGTGGGGGAAGAGCCTACACCTTATAAAATGAAATGTGAGACCAGGCCTTGAACTCCATTTCATTTAAATTAAACCACACATAGCCATCTCACGAAACTCTGCTATAACATTCAGATTACAATGCAAACCAGTCTATCTTACCAAAATGGGATCTGCCTTAAGCCTAATATCTAATGTGTCATGATGTCATGATGGCAAATGACCCCAGGGCTGTTTTCCCAGTGTGTCCTCCACATGTTCCCAAAGCTAACCCTGTAAGAATGAGAGGTGGGGGGAGACACTTTGCAAACCTCTCCATTTCTCATTGTGGGCCTGGGCCCAAGAGCAGCAACGTGACTGGCACGTTCCCAGTTTGCGCGGAAAGCTCCGCTATGCAGTGATGGAACACAGTGACCCGCAATTAACATGGTTACCATCGCAGCCGAGTCTCCAGTAACAAAGGATTTGGAATCAGTCACAATGGGGTGGGGAATCTTTTTACATTTAATATATACAGTATCTGTATATGTATGCATATTTGCAGTTTCCACCCAATATTCAGGCAGCTGCGTGGGAGCTGCTGGAAGAAAACCTTATGCAGCAAACTTAAACGGAGCCTGCTCCTCCTTGCTGCACTTCTAGCTGGCGGTCCCCCTAAGGGGAAAGACGGTGAAGTGAAAAGAAAAAGAAGAAAGACCACACCGAAAACATCCACTTTCAGAGCTATTGGCTGCTGGGGGTGGGGTGGGGGAGAGAGCGCTTAAACAGGCCCCATCTAAGCCAGATCCAGATCCGCGTCGCAACCTTCCTTCCCAGACCCGCTTTCCCAGAAGCCACGGAGCCATTTTGACCGCTGTGTGACAGTGACAGCAGGCGAGGAATTGGAGACGGAGCGCGGGTGGGGGCTGCTGCTGCCTGGCCGTCTCTTTGCGGCCTGGACGAGGGAAGGGGATGGAGGGAGACGGGGATGGAGCTGAGGCGGCGGCGGCGGGAGCAGCAAGAGATGGCAGAGGCGGCGGCGGCGGCGGCAGGTGCCTTGTGGCCAGCCAGGCGCGCTAAGAGGATGCGGCTTGGCCTGGGATAAGGCGCCTGCAGGAAGCGCGGCTGCGGAGAAGGAGGCTGCGGGGAGCTTAACAAAGGCTTGGCAGCGCGTTGCTTGGCCGGCCGGCCGGCGGGCGCGCACACAGGCTCGGTTACCTCGGATGGTCCAGGTCCAGCGGTAGAACTCCAAGGTGTCGTTCACCACGTTGGCGATGAGGCCCGGCTCCCCGGCGGCGGAGTGGCCCATGGCTGCTTGGCTGGCTGGCAGGCAGGCAGGGCAAGCGAGCGAGCGAGCAGCGGCGGCGGCGGCGGCAGAGGAGCCGGCGGGACTGGTCGGGGCGCGCGCGCGTCTGTCGCTGTGCGCCGGGGCTGCTGCTGCTGCTGCGGCCGCTACTGCTGCTGTTCTTGCTGAGAATGAAATTTAAATCTCTGTCTCTGGGTATCTATCTGCAGGCCCCGCCTCGCTTCAGACGACTCCCGTGCCCGGGGCCAGGGAGGGAGGGAAAAGGCAGAAGAACAGGCGCCGAGGCTGGAGGCACCTTGGGATGGAGAGGAGCGCTTAGCTCGGCTTGCGTCACGTGGCCGTCGCCTTTCCCGGGGGCAGCGCACAAAGCGCTCGTCCAGGCGCACGCGCACAGACCCGGGGCGGGGGCGCGCGCGCTCAGAGCTGAACCACCTGCTTTATTGATCACGGCGGGGGCGGGATTGCTTGGTCTCTTCGCTCGATCCCAGTGTGGGGCGTCCATAAGGCCAGACGCATAAGGCCCCCATTGCAGCGCCTGGCGTGGGTGGGCTTCCCCCGTTGCCACGGAGGAGCGCTGGCACTGGGGGACCCTTCAGGCGGTGTGACCCCCCACACCCCAAAAGAGACCGTGTCGCCCCACTCCTTTGCCTGTTTATTTATATTCCTTTCCACCAAGCCACTCCGAGTGGCATGCACCCTCCTCCCGCCCTTGGTCCGCATGTTGAATCCTCACAACAGCCCTGTGAGATAGGTTGCGCCGAGAGACCTCAATGGGGATTTGTTGTCTTTTCACAGTAGCAACTCGAAGCGACTAAATGTAGAAACAAACGTTTAAAACTACTGGTAGAAGAAGATATAAGGACCTTTTGTGGGGGCTTTTGACTTCAGAGTGATCTTGATTCTGCACTTGTGGCAGCTCCAGCTGAAGTAGCGAGTGCCACTGTTGAGAATGTGTAGTGGGATCAGGTTCCGCTTGCGCAATCTGCTGCTGTGGGCACGGTGCTGGCAGCATTTAGCCACATGCCCTCTAGACATTTAGCCACATGCCCTCTATTTCTCCCTAACATAATTATCAGGTGAGGGCCACCTTTCCTGGCTTATTAAATCTAGCAGAGGTGGGCTGACTTGGTTGGGTCCACAGTGTAGTTAAACACTTCATTACCTGTGGGTGTGGTGCAACAGTTCCCAAAGAAACCAACTCTGGACCCCTTAGACTATCAGTCCATGACACAGATTAGTTTGACCCATTCCAATTTGGGTTCAGGCCTGGCCGCAGGACTGTGTCGGGCTTGGTCACCCTGATGGATGGCCTTTGCAGAGAGTGGGACAGGAAGAGTGAGACCTTGCTGCTACTGTTTCTTGATCTCTTATTGGAATTTGATACCATCCATCGACCATGGCGTCTTCCTGGACTGGCTCCAAGGAAATGGGAATTGGGGGCACTGTACTACAGTGGTTCCAATCCCACCTTTGAGACCGTGTCCAGAAAGTAGCATCTGGAGAGTGCTTTTCAGCCCCCTGGTGTCACAGGCAGGGGCAATGTGTTGTGTTTTGCCACCTGAGGCGAAATGGGAAGCTGCGACCCCACTCTGCCGCCACTGGGATGCGTGGCAGCGCTCACAAAGCTGTGACGATAATGGTGGGTTCCAGCGAGATCTCACAGAGTGTACCGATTGTGAGATGTCTTTGGAAGCTGCCGCCACCTCATAGGCAGCTCGGCCCTGGCTGCAGGACATGATTTTATCTCCAATCTCATATGGATTTATCTCCATATGAACATGAAAGTCACTGGTTGGCTTGGGGGCAAGGTGCCGCCAGAATGCAAATGCACCCCTCTCTATTTCTCCTTGACTTAATTATCAGGCGAGGCCATACAGTCCCTGGGTCAGTGCCTGAATGCAATGGGACAACAGATTAAGCAAAACAAGCTGAGCTGCCAAGACAGAGGTGGGTAGGCAGTTCCCATATCTAAGAAATGGGTCAACTCTCTACCCTGGACTCCCCCGAAGGAGCAGGTTCACAGCTTGGGGTGCTTCTGCATCCAGCTCTGCCACAGGAGTCTCAGGTAGCCTCAGTGGCCAGAAGCATTTGGTACGACAGCTATGACCATTCCTGAACTGGGAAAACTTGGCCACAGGATTTCATGAATTGGTTACTTCAAGACTGGGTTACTGTAATGCACTGTGGGGGGGGGGGCTTCCCTTGCGCTGGAGCCACAAACTGCAGTTAGTGAAGAATACTGCAGCATGACTGCTGACAGGAGCAAGGCCTTGTCAGCATATAACACGTGTGCTAAGGGATCTGCACTGGCTGCTAATCTGCGACTGGGCCATGCTCAAGGTGTTCCTATTGGTATACAAAGCCCTTAAGGACTTGGGATCAGTTTACCCGTGAGATCACCTTATCCCCATATATTCCCTCTTGACCACTTTGTTCTGTGGAAGTAGCACTGCTACAAGTGCCACATAATATCATCCCCAAATCTGTAAGAAATCGATCTTTTAGTGTGACGGCATCTACACTTCGGAATTCCCTGCCTATTGACATCAAGCAGGCGCCATCACTGTACTTTTTTTTTAGGCACCTGATAATTTTTTTTTAAAAATTCTTTAGACAAGCCTACCCAGATATCTAGAATGCTGATATGTTTTTAGGTTTTTTGCTGGAAATTTAAAATTGTTTTTACTGATAATTTTATTGTTAATTCTTTTTGTAGTCCACTGAACAACTTCTTCTTTTTACAATCAAGCAGTATATACAGGTGAAAGTCGGAAAATTAGAATATTGTGGAAAAGTTCATTTATTTCAGTAATTCAACTTAAAAGGTGAAACTAATATATGAGATAGGCTCATGACATGCAAAGTGAGATATGTCAAGCCTTTATTTGTGATAATTGTAATGATCCTGGCGTACAGCTGATGAAAACCCCAAATTAACAATCTCAGAAAATTAGAATATTAAATGAAATCAGCAAAACAAGGACTGCAAATAGAGCAATATTGGACCTCTGAGAAGTAGAAGCATGCACATGTACTCAGTACTTGGTTTGGGCCCCTTTTGCATCAATCAAGGTCTGAAGTCTCTCATCTTTCTCTTGGCAATGCCCCATAGATTCTCTATGGGGTTCAGGTCAGGCGAGTTTGCTGGCCGATCAAGCACAGTAATCCCATGGGCATTGAACCAGGTTTTGGTACTTTTGGCAGTGTGGGCAGGTGACAAAGTCCTGCTGGAAAATGAAATCAGCATCCCCATAAAGCTTGTCTGTGGAAGGAAGCACGAAGTGCTCCAAAATCTCCTGGTAGACGGCTGCGTTGATCCTGGACTTAATGAAGCACAGTAGACCAACACCAGCTGATGACATGGCTCCCCAAATCTCTTTTCTGATGAGAGCAGCTTTTGCATCTCATTTGGAAACCAAGGACCCAGAGTCTGGAGGAAGAATGGGGAGGCACACAATGCCAGATGCTTGAAGTCCAATGTGAAGTTTCCACAGTCTGTGCTGATTTGGGGAGCCATGTCATCAGCTGGTGTTGGTCTACTGTGCTTCATTAAGTCCAGGGTCAATGCAGCCATCTACCAGGAGATTTTGGAGCACTTCATGGTTCCTTCCGCAGATGAGCTTTATGGGGAAGCTGGCCATGGGTTGGCCACATTCTCTTACGGTGAATCTCTGGGGTGGGGTGGGGGTGAATGCCAGTAGTGATTGGGGCCAGAGGCAAATGTGGGTGGAGGAAATGGTGCAATTCCCAACCTTGAAGAGTAGGAATATACATTCCATCCATGGAGAAGAATGCCTACTCAACTGATAAATGTGGTGATGCCACACCAGTCCATCTATACTCTGGACAATCCACTTCACAGCGTCCTTTGTTGTCTGCATCATCCATTGAACTTGGCCATTTGCTTGAGGATAATGAGGTGCAATGGCGACAGCTTGGATAAGGTGGTCCACAAATTCACTGAACTCCATTGATATGAACACAGACCCATTGCCAGAGGCTACAGCATCTGGCAATCCATGTGTTGCAAATAATTGTTGCAAGGTTGTGATGGTTGCAGCAGATGTTTGAGATGGGACTAAGAGCCCTTCAAGCCTTTTTGAGAAGGAATTCACCACAGTCAAGAAGTTAGTCCCTTGAAATGGTCCTGCAAAATCAATATTGTCTTGACCATCTCATGGGAACATAGATGTCTTTGGTAGGTTATGCCAAGTAGCCTGGCATGTGCTGCACTCATTGACAATTTTTACAAAGTTAGAGTCAATTCCAGGTCACCAGACATAGCTATTATCCAATGCTTTCATGCATATGATTCATGCATATGCTGCACAAAGTGTGGGCAAGATGGTTTGACAATTACATTCTAGGATAACAACATGGTTTATCCATAAAATACATCCTTTATGAGCAGACAGCTCATGTTGGTGGCTAGTGAATAACTTGAATTCATCAGACAGTTTTGCAACTGACCACCCACACCACCCCCAGAAAGACACGAAGTACTAGAAGATCTGAAGAAGTTACTACTGCAGCTTGATCAGGTTGCAGAGGTGCACATGGAAGGGCTTCCAACACCAAAACTTCCATTGGAGGTAGCACATCACAATCTGGTTTCCATAATGGCATATGGCTCAGGGCATCAGCCTTAGAAATTGTTCTTCCTGACTTGTAGACTTGTAGATCATCAGGGGTTTGGCCTGGGTGTTCATCAGTATGTGGAGGATACCCAGGTCTACCTCTCTTTTAAATCAGAACCAGTGAAGGCGGTGAAGGTCCTGTGTGAGTGACTGGAGGCGGTTGATGGATGCAGGGCAGCTAACAGATTGAAGTTGAATCCTGACAAGACAGAAGTACTGTTTTGGGGGGACAGGGAGCAGGCAGGTGTGGCGGACTCCCTGGTCCTGAATGGGGTAACTGTGCCCCCAAAGGACCAGGCGTGCAGCCTGGGAGTAATTTTGGACTCGCAGCAGTCCATGGAGGCACAAGCCAATTCTGTGTCCAGAGCAGCTGTCTACCATTTCCATCTGGTACACAGGCTGAGACCCTACCTGCCCATGGACTGCCTTGCCAGGGTGGTGAAAACTCTAGTTATCTCCTGCTTGGACTACTGCAATGGACTCTACGTGGGGCTACCTTTGAAGGTGACCTGGAAACTACAACTAATCCAGAATGCGGCAGCTAGACTGGTGACTGGGAGTGGCTGCCAAGACCACATAACACCAGTCCTGAAAAACCTACATTGGCTCCCAGTACGTTTCCGAGCACAATTCAAAGTGTTGGTGCTGACCTTTAACAGCCCTAAACGGATTTGGCCCAGTATACCTGAAGGAGCATCTCCATCCC